TTGCCTAATAGTAGCGCCGCCTCTGAACAGATCGATAATGTGAAGAACTCAAATCAGTGACACACAGATCAGTCAGATGATGATGAAGTCTCTGGGTTGGACTGGGAACAAAATTCGGCCCTGGGATTTTCCCCTCTGAATCTGCGGTGGAAACGGAGGAATTGGAGGGAAGTAAGGCTGTGTGATTAACTGAATTTTGATCGCGACTCGATTATATGATCACGACTCATAATTGAGTTGAAACTTTAAGCTTAACAAAGTATATAAATATAGAGATTATAGAACAGCTGGATATATAATTTATTTTGGATACATTTATGTTTTTCTGCCTTATTTCTTGTTCAAAATATATTTTATTCATTTTAGTTTTATACATCGCAAAACTGCTCTAAGGTTCATATTTGTAGACTATATTTTCAATTTGAAAGTTATCAATAAATCAATAACAAAGTGTTTTTTTGTTTTTTTTTTGTTGGTTTTTTTGAGAGAGAGAGAAATACTGAACAAATGCATCATGTAACAAAAAAATAAATAAAAATTTGAATAATCGTGATTTCAGTATTGACCAAAATGTGTGAAAAATCCCTCAGTCGTCCAGGTGGAATCCATGGCAACGGAGAAATTCAATTTGTCAACTGGACAAAGTTTATTTGGTCGAATACATTTTCGCAGCTCATCCAAGCAGAACTGAACTGAAGAAACAGCTTGGATGAGCTGCGAAACTTATTCGACCAAATAAACTTTGTCCAGTTGACAAATTAAATTTCTCCTTTTGCTTTCAATAATGACCAAAATAGTCGTGATTTTGTTTTCCATAATCGAGCAGGGAGAAGGCTAATCTGATTCATCTGCCGGTTTCCCTTCGTAGAAACCATCTGACCTCACAGTGTTAGGATTCGTTCGCTCAGTGGTAGACGGGTACTTTTTTAACCAGTTGGTGCTATTTGGTCGTGATGTATTTAAACTGCGTCTAACGGGGATAACTGGAAGATTAAGCTTTTCCCAAATCCCGTAGGAAGAAGGACAATAACGTCTTTCCCCTGAATAAAATTCACTAAACATTCTCTTTACTCCGGCTTTAAATCCTGGATCTTGCGAATCGTTGCCAACGCATAATGTTTGTCTCTTCGCTGATTGGTGCTCAAACTCACACTTCCGGGGTTTTTGCAAATCGTCTAGTGTATTCAGATTCCTGACCTAGTAGCTGGAGAGAAATTAAATTGAGCAGAGGCATTAGGTGGTGCCAGCCATGCTAAGAGAAGGCCACCGCTTTGGCCCAAATGTGTTCTGAAGTGGACCGTCCCACTGGGCTTTTTCCTGGAAGTACAGATTACGAGCCCAAGCCTGAACAACCCTGACTTGAGCAGTCAGGGTTTGAAGCGTTCACAATCTGATTATAAGGCGACTGTTTTACTAGAGTCACAGTTCCACAGTTCCCTCTCACCTGCCTCTGTGTGTGCGTCAGGCGCTCGCTGCTCTGTAATAAACTCTGACCTCATGTGAATGTCATGTGTCTTTAGCCTCAAGGAGTTCCTCCCAAAGGAATACATCAAACAGCGAGGGGCAGAGAAGAAAATATTTCAGGTATGTCCACAGCATATATTTTGATGTTTCTTTACGTTTTCACATTCTAATCATCGTGTTACTGCCCCCTTTTGGACCAGGACCATAAATCCTGTGGAGAGATGACAGAGATTGAAGCCAAAGTGAAGTATGTGAAGTTGGCCCGGTCCCTTCCCACGTACGGAGTCTCCTTCTTCCTGGTCAAAGTAAGTCCAGTCACTTTGAGATAAAACTTGATGCTGTTTGGACTTTGTCAGCTGTTCAGGAGATAAAAAGTAGGTTTGATTTTGATGAGGGGTTTTCCTGGTGTGGCCTGGTCTGGAGGCGTGACTTGGTTTAGTTTCCAGATATTTTATGTATTTTTGTGGAGCTATTTTTGGACATAAAAGCTTCAGCGCCATTGTGATTTATGGATATGGTCTTGGCAAATTTACTCAAATGTTGAGAAGCATTAAGCAAAGCAGATTTTCATTCAAGGACAAGATTTATTAAAAGATTATTTCTCATATTCTGCTGGTGTCATGCATATTTTAATTTTCATCTAAAACAGGAGTTCACAACCCTCGGGTCGTGGACCGGAACAGGGCGACAAACGTGGAAACCCCCTCCTCCCATACGCATCTCTAAACCAGAACTAAACTGGAACTAAACCGGAACTAAACCGGGACTAAACCGGGACTAAACCCGGAATAAACCGTGAATAAACCAGGTTCTAAACCAGGTCTAGGGATTAAAACTAAAACCAGGTCTAAAACCAGGTCTAAAACCAAGTTTAAAACCAGGACTAAACCAGGATTAAACTAGGACTAAAACTAGGACTAAACCAGGACTAAACCGGGACTAAACGGGGGAAAAAAACGGGAATAAACCAGGTCTAAAACTAGGACTAAACCAGGTTTAAACCAGGTCTAAAACCAGGTCTAAAACCAAGTCTAAAACCAGGACTAAACCAGGATTAAACTAGGACTAAAACTAGGACTAAACCAGGACTAAACCAGGACTAAACCAGGACTAAAACCAGAACTAAACCAGGACTAAACCAGGACTAAAACCAGAACTAAACCAGGTCTAAAACTGGGATTAAACCAGGTCTACACCAGGTCTAAACCAGGACTAAAACCAGAAATAAAACTAGGACTAAACCAGGCCTAAAAGAGAACTAAAACCAGGACTAAACCAGGACTAAACTGGAACTAAACCAGGATTAAACCAGAACTAAAACAGAACTAAACCAGGTCTAAAACCAGGTTTAAAACCAGGATTAAAACCAGGTCTAAAGCCAGGACTAAACCACAAAATGGACCCAGACAGACGCTTGAGTTTGACGTCATGGCTTCACAGCTCTTCGCTGATAAACCGCGCACCAACCAACAACTTCAGTGGTTCTTGTAAACCGTCTAGTGTATTCTGATTCCTGACCTAGTTCCTGGAGAGAAATTAAATTGAGCAGAGACACTAGGTGGCGCCAGCCTGGTCAGCTTTAGTCCTTGCATGAGGTAAAATGATAAAATATGTTTATTTTGTCATTCCAAATGATCTTAAACAGGCCGGTCAGAGTCAACGAAAACAACTAAAACATGGTCATTTTTGCAGAATAGAACTGATTTAATGATGAAAAGAAATGATCCAAGATTCAGAAAAAAAAGGTTCTAATGATGATTGATGATGATTTTAAGAGTGCCAACATCTAAACACAAAACACAAACACACATGCAGGAGCAGAGCTGTTAAAGGTGCACTGCGTCACTTTTTTGTTTTGGGCCCGTCACCTTTTTAATTTTATGGATATGTCATTACTCTTGTCTGAAATGTTCCACAGTATGACATTAAACAACTCTACATTACATTTAATCAATTACAGGTGGTTTTATAGCTCAAAAACACCTAGAAAAACAGACTTGGAGCGGGTTCGCCTCTCCACAGATTTGACCTGTAACTCAGTGTGGTTTAGTCTCTGTGAAAATAGAATCTTTTAATGCCATACTTTGAAACATTCTAGAAAAAACAACACCACGGAGAAAAGCATTTCATGGACGCTCCACCAGAAAAGTTACCCAATGCATCTTTAAATTTTTAATTTTCCGGCACTGGTGACATTTAGTTATGGCGGGACTTTCGGCTCTTTCATGAGATCCGAATCATTTGGATCCTTCACTTCAAAGAGCCGTTCAAAAGACTGGCTCTTTTTATATTTATTTATTTATATGATGCAAATGTGAGAACTCGTTTTATCTACAAACTAATCACGGAGAGAAATGACCAAGGCTCAGATCTGTTTAAAATGCTTCAAACTGAATCTGTGGGGGTGTTTAGGCTTTGAAATGATGCATAAACGAAACAAAACAATGAGCTACAATAATTAAATTTTTTAAATTAACTGTTATTACGATGTTATTTATAATTTTCTTTGGTGCACACAGCTCTCACTCATGTTGTCCGCTCTAGTTCTGGCCTGATTCCTGTTTTGGTTCAGCGTAAACAATAAAAAAGAAAAAAATATTTGGTTTATGAAATCCAGTTCCATTTACATTAAAGGTGCACTGTGTAACTTTTTGACTGGGGGTCTGTTAACCGCATGTTTCTATGGATATGTCTTTACTCTGCCTGAAATGTTCCACAGTGTGACATTAAACAGCTCTACCTTACATTTATTAAATTAGAGCTGGTTTTATAGCTCAAAAATACCTAGAAATACAGACATTCTGACTGAGTGGGGTCGCCTCTCCACAGATCTGACCTGGAACTCGGTCTGGTTCGGTCTCCGTGAAGATAGAAAGGTTTAATGCCATAACATCTCCATAGACAATAGTTTTTTAAATTGTATTACTATTATTTTTTATTTTGTACATATATTAAGAAAAAAAAAAAAAAAAAAAAAAACATGCTGGAAAAAAACAAAACAAAAACAAAACAGAAGTGCTTTTATTAACCACCTTTTAAATACATTAAAATTGAACATTATCGCTGTGCATTATTGTAATTGATGGAGTGGGCGGAGCAGTGGGCGGGGCAGTGGGCGGAGCAGTGGGCGGAGTAATGGGTGGGAAGTGGGCGGTGACATATCATGTGGCATGGGAGAAAACCTGGGTTGGATCTTGATCTAACCGGATTGGATTTAACCCCGGTTACAATTACAAAAAATTACATTTGTACATCTTAGATTAATACATTTGATTCAAACATGGATTAAAATACAATGAAACTTCCAGAATTTAATGATTATCAAACATTATCATGAAATATCGAACATTTTCTCAAGCTATTTTTAAACAACATTTTTGATGCCGTCACTAAACAGATGTGAAAACTGGATCCAGAATTTACATTTGACGGACCCTCCACCAGAAAAGTTAACACAGTACACCTCATTCAAAACATTTAGCTTATACTAATTTTTAAAGTTTTATACTGTATGTCTGTATGTTGTGTCGTAACAGGAGAAGATGAAGGGTAAAAACAAGCTGGTGCCGAGGCTTCTGGGCATCACCAAAGAGTCTGTGCTCAGAGTGGACGAGAAGAGCAAAGAGGTGGTGCAGGACTGGCCCCTCACCACCGTCAAGAGATGGGCAGCTTCTCCCAAAAGCTTCACTCTGGTAACATCTTTCACTATTCTACAGATACTATAACAAATATCACTATCACACAAATGTAACTGTAGAGTAAAACTAGTGTGTGTCTGCTATGAGGTGGAGGTGGGTGAAGGTGTAGCTACTGAATTGAGATCTAATTGTTGAAGATTGCCATTATGGGCTTATTTTGAATTTATCTACAGTCAGTCCTGTGGCAGTAAAAGTAGAAGGTTTGTAGCAAAATAAAGGACTGTTAAATACTAAATTACATATTTCTGAGTGTTAAATGGCAGTAGGAGGAGGAAACAATATTTGTACTTCAGTTATGTTTTTTAAATTTTTTTTAAAGTCTACTTTGTTTTTATTCATGAAATTTATTTATTATGATTAAAATTAGGGATGTGCTGATCCAGCTTGCTCCGATAATGATGTCAGTACTTAAAATCTCTGCTGTTATTAAACGATAATAGGACAGAAACTAAAAACGTAAATTATTTACTTTAAACCCCCAAAAAATCATCCAAATGTGCTTTGCAACTATTACCATATTATGTGGACTATAAGTTGTTCCGGAGTAAAAGTCGCACCAGCCAAAAATGAAGAAAAAAAAAAAACATATGCAAGTCGCACCAGACAATAAGTCAAACTTTTTAGGGGAAATTAATTTTATTTATATTTTTATACTAATATAAATGTATATAAAATCAGAGACCAGACACTGACATTTCCTGTTAAAAGTGAAGTTCTAGTAATAGAGTACGTAAGTAGTAGTAGTAGTAACAGAGAACAACAGTCACATATCAACAGTTCTTCAGATAACTATAGCATAAAAAACAGAACAGAACAGGTTTACCAAACTCTTCCATCTCACTCCAAATCACTAAATCCATTCAATTCTTCATCCTCGGTGTCTCTTCTGAGCAACTCCACAACCTCCGGAGGTAAACAGAGCGCCGCTTCCTCTTCTGTGTCGCTGTCGTCAGACTCAGCATCAGTTCCAGTTAGAATTATTCCGACCTTTCTGAATCCCGACAGGATGGTTTCGGTGTCACTGAAGTCCAGACTTTGTCCATCCATCCAGTGACTTCAGGAAAGTTGTGTGGTGCATCCTCCCGGTGTCACAAGTTTCTCGCTCACTCCAAACTTTCTTTCTGCCGCTCGATTATTATTTTCAGCTGCAGATTTCACGACTTGCAGCTTGTAATCTGCAAAATATGATTTTCTTTTTGGGAACATTTGTGTGCAGTCTTCTCAGATGTTTTTATAAGTTTTTAAATTTCAGTGGTGCAGAAGTAATGGTGCGATCGACTGACATGATACAGACAGGACAGAGGCTCTTTCTGCAGGAGACATGCGCAGTAGAGCCAAGTGACAGTGGTACAGGAGACACAAGAGCAGCAGATACTGACACACAAGCCTGGAGCGCCCTCTAGAGGCTGTCAGTGTGAAAATTTTAATATATAAGTCGCACCACAGTATAAGCCGCAGGAAACACCCAAACCATGAAAAAAAGTGTGACTTATAGTCCGAAAAATACCGTGTTTAACATTTAAAGTAACTCAGTGTTTTTGGACAAACATTGGCCTTTAAATCCTCCTATTACACCACTCTGTAGACCAAAATGGAATATTGATTGAACGGTATCTTTGAAATGATATCCAATCCATCAAAACGTTCAATATCGGCACCAGTGCAATCGGTGCATCCCCAATTAAAACTCACATTTATTTGCTTTCCAGAAATTCAGTCTGTGTGAAGTAAAGGAACGAGTGTGACATGTTGCTCAGCCGTCGCGCTTTGAGTTGGTGCTCGTTTCAAAGCCCTACACACTTTCAGACATCTGCTCACTCCTACATTTATTTAAGCAAAGATCCGGGATTGCAAAAATATTTATGAAACAGAGAAAAAAGGCACAGTCCGACCAGAAACACATCCTCAAAACATAGATCCGAGTTTTGTTATTCAGACAGTTGAGCTCCAGCGCTGCAGCAAACCCGTGTGAGATGTGACTCCTCTGTTTTATATTTAACAGGATTTTGGAGAATACCAGGAGAGCTACTACTCCGTCCAGACCACAGAGGGGGAGCAGATCTCTCAGCTCATCGCCGGATACATCGACATCATCCTGAAAAAGGCAAGAACAATGTCTCTCTATACGTCATACAAGTTACTCTAAATTGACTCTTGTTATAATGTTTTTATCTCCTCAAAAACAGACCTGGAGTTGTGTTTTGTTTCATTCACACACGTTTGAGTAACTCTCTATTATTAGTCTGTCTACAAAGCAAAAACTGGAGGGTTAAAATTTGAGGTTAAAATATTTCAGAGTTGTTTTTAACACAAAAAGTGTTATTTTAACAATTTCAAAGTTAAATGGGGGTTCGAGTTGGAGTTATTTGACAGAGTTGATATGGTTGATGATAATGTTAGTGCGAGTGTTAATTCAACTTCCCCTAGTGTTAATTCAACTTCTACTAGTGTTAATTCAACTTCCTCTAGTGTTAATTTAACTTCCTCTAGTGTTAATTCAACTTCTACTAGTGTTAATTCAACTTTTCTTAGTGTTAATTCAACTTCCCTTAGTGTTAATTCAACTTCCACTAGTGTTAATTCAACTTCCTCTAGTGTTAATTCAACTTCCTCTAGTGTTAATTCAACTTCCTCTAGTGTTAATTCAACTTCTACTAGTGTTAATTCAACTTCTACTAGTGTTAATTCAACTTTTCTTAGTGTTAATTCAACTTCCCTTAGTGTTAATTCAACTTCCCTTAGTGTTAATTCAACTTCCACTAGTGTTAATTCAACTTCTACTAGTGTTAATTCAACTTCCTCTAGTGTTAATTCAACTTCCTCTAGTGTTAATTCAACTTCTACTAGTGTTAATTCAACTTCCACTAGTGTTAATTAAACTTTCACTAGTGTTAATTCAAATTCCATTAATGTTAATTCAACTTCTACTAGTGTTAATTCAACTTCCTCTAGTGTTAATTCAACTTCCTCTAGTGTTAATTCAACTTCCCTTAGTGTTAATTCAACTTCCACTAGTGTTAATTCAACTTCCACTAGTGTTAATTAAACTTTCACTAGTGTTAATTCAAATTCCATTAATGTTAATTCAATTTCCACTAGTGTTAATTCAACTTCCTCTAGTGTTAATTCAACTTCCCTTCGTGTTAATTTGTCTCCTCCACCCACCACTTCAAACTCCCTTGAGAGAAGACCAGTTTGAACCAGTTTTGTACATATTTTCATCTTAAATTAACTAAAATAAAGTGTAAAAATAAAACACCTCTGTGTGTTGTTTTGCTAAATCAGAATAACTCTACAAAGTGTTTTCCGTTTACTCTCAAAACATTAATATAACTCTTGATTTCAGGGTTAAATGGGAACTTTGGTCCAGTGTTACTTAATTAACATTTCCAAAAATGTTAAATTAACTCTAGAACAGATTGGACTCATATAAACTCTGAGAAAATGTTAAAATTGATTCTATGAGAGTCAATGTTAAGAGTCCACTTTTTGTTGTGTGTATCTCCAAAGCTCAAAATGCTCTGTTCCTTTTCGTGATGTCATGAAGCGATAGTTTTCAAGTTATCAAATTATCCAAATAATTCAAGTGAAGATGTATGGAGTTTAAATACACAGTGGAGCATTTTCTGTGTTACCACATGACATCACAAGGTGGAACAGAGCGTTTTGAGCTGTGGAGATGTAGACAGATTAATAATAAATGACTCAAACATGTGTGAATGAAACAAAACTCAACTCCAGGTCTGTTTTTGAGGAGGTAACAACATTATAAAATGTCTAAAAGCTCACAAGAGTCAGTTTTGCGTAATATAAAACCTTGAAGAAACTGCACACAGACGTTCGCCTTTGTCACAGCATTTGATGTTTGTCTGATCGTCCACAGAAGCAGAGTAAGGATCGCTTCGGTCTGGATGGAGATGAGGAGGCCACCATGCTCGAAGAGTCTGTGTCTCCCAAAAAGTGAGTTTAGTCCCTGTGACACAGAAAGCGAGAACCAGAACTGCTGTAGGGTCGAGATGTCATGGAATACATTTTTAGTGCAACAGTTATTGTGAGAAAAAACATCACAATTAACGATTATTCACGATTACTGACACCATGACTTTAGAGGCAGTTTAACTCCACAGTTCGCCATTAGGGGTGTAATGATACAAAAATCACGGTTTGGTATGTACCTCGGTTTTGAGGTCAAGGTTCGGTTAATTTTTCGTGCAGTATAGGAACAAACTACAAAACCATTTGTGTTTTTATTAAATCAACAATTTGTTTTAACATTATAGAAACAGGAAAATAAAAAAAATCCAAAGTGCTGCTTGGTAAAACTAATAAGTTAAATACAATATTCTCAAATAAACAACAAATGAAATGAAATATTCTAAAAAAAAATAATTCCTTGTAAACAGTAAACAAAACATTTCAAAAAGTAAAGTTCAACACTAACAGTTCCAGCATCAAGTTTTACTCAATCTTCATATTTTGGCCAGAAAAAACAACTTGTTCACATTGTCTGCAGTAAATTCAGATCTTTTGGCAAAAGGTGAGAGTGAGGACTGGTGCACAACGACCATAGTTCTGTGAGGATTCACGTGGTTCGGAGGGACGTAGTCAAGGTGGGAGGCAGTTGTTGTCAAGGCGGTCACCCTAACTATAAAGCGCTGCTGGAAACACTCCAACAATCACAGACGAGTTTCCTCGTGAATATTAAAGAGCCGAGCCTCCGTGTATCTGCACATGTAGTGGCAAAAATAAACACACACAAATTGAGCGACCTCACTCGTGCACAGTCCTGCACCGAACTGAACGTCTCGTACTGAAACGGTTTGGCACAAATACATGAACCGTTACACCCCTATTTGTCACTGAACTATTGCAGGTTCCACAAATGAAGATTCTACAATGCATTCGGTTCATACGGTCAAAAAACTGTATGTCCTCCTCTCCCAGGGCTCCACCCCAAACACGTTCAAACAAATGTAGGACAAAAATCGCCGTAATATTGACCAAACATCAGTGGAATCCATTATTTCTTTCATTAATGTCTCTAACATGAAACTGTGACATAAACTGCCAGATAAAAACACACTTTGAATTAATATTAGTACTTTTTTGGAGCATAGATTCAATGGAAATTACTTAAAATTGCCATTATTGTTTTTTTTTAGCTTATATTGTGACCTAAATAATCACAATTATTGATTAACCAAATAAGCTTGACACCACTATTGCAGAGTGTGGGGCTTTATTTGGCTTTTACTCCAGTCTGACTCACTTTACACTGGACTTAGAGCCTGCAGAAACTGTACACACACAGTTAGTGAGTAATTTTGGAATGACATGACTTCATGTTTCTATTTCTGTCTTATGAACACAACAATACAGCGCTGGTGTTTTCCATTGATTCCACTCGCTCAAATGATTTCTTACCTTTTACCCTATTTACTCCAAATAATCAAGTATTTATAGACTCCTAGTGCTCAAATGTCCAGGCCTGTGTAACTTAGACTTGTGTGTTTGTGTGTATCTTGTGTGTTTGTGTGTATCTTGTGTGTTTGTGTGTATCTTGTGTGTTTGTATCGTGTGTGTTTGTGTGTGTTTGTGTGTTGCAGGTCGACCATCTTGCAGCAGCAGTTTAATCGTGTGGGTCGGGTGGAGCACGGCTCGGTGGCGCTCCCTGGCATCATCAGTTCAGGCTCCATTGGAGGGTCTGACACTTACAGCATGGGCTCTATGCCCTCTGCCCAGCAGCAGCTCAGCTCGGGTCAGCTGCACCGCGGGCACATGCCCCCTCTGGTAAGGACACGATACACACTCTCACTGAATTTACTGCACTGGACTCGGGACTTTAACAGTTTGATGTTTGAAAGTGTTTTTGTAGTCTTCTCAAGATATTACGTTATATAATTATACCTATATTGTCATGTTAATTAAAGACACACTCCTTTTATTCGACTAAAATGAGGTTTTACACTTTAATTGTTATTTTCTGTGGGTCTGTGCAGCACCTGAACCAGAACATTCATGTAATTAAGTCCAGACCTGAAGTGCCTCAGACTCAGAGGGGCCCCCTAGAGTTCCTCTGTGATTATGTCACTGCTGAAGCTGCGGGGTCACTGCTCTGTCACTGTGTGTGTGTATGTGTCTGTGTGTGTGCGTGTGTGTGTGTGTGTCTGTGTGAGTCTGTCACTGTGTGTGTGTGTGTGTCTATGTGTGTCACTGTGTGTGTGTGTGTGTCTGTGTGAGTCTGTCACTGTGTGTGTGTGTGTCTATGTGTGTCACTGTGTGTGTGTGTCTGTGTGTGTGTGTGTGTGTGTGTGCGCCTGCCACTGTGTCTGTGTGTGTGCGTGTGTGTGTGTCTGTGTGAGTCTGTCACTGTGTGTGTGTCTATGTGTGTCACTGTGTGTGTGTGCGCCTGCCACTGTGTCTTTGTGTATGTGTGTCTGTCACTGTGTGTGTGTGTCTGTGTGAGTCTGTCACTGTTTCTGTGTGTGTGTGTCAGTGTGTCTGTGTGTGTCAGTGTGTGTGTCTGTTACTACATTTGTGTGTGTGTCACTGTGTCTGTGCGTGTGTGTCACTGTGTGTGCATCTGTCACTCTGTGTGTGTGTATGCACGTCTGTCACTGTGTGTGTCACTGTGTGTGTCACTGTGTGTGTCTCTGTGTGTGTGCGTCTGTCTTTGTGTGTGTGTAGCAGTGCTAGAGCAGTGTGTGTTTGGAGCATTGTTTTCCTTTTGCTCTTTACTGTGACTGACCTCGTGTCACTTTGATAGTGATGACTGAGAGATCACTATTTCACCCTTGTGTATGTGTGCGTGTGTGTGTGTGTGTGTGTGTGTGTATCTGCGTGTGTGTGTGTGTGTATCCTCAGAGCCAGGCGCAGCAGGCCCTCATGGGGACCATCAGCAGCAGTCTGAGGACGGTGCAGCAGGCTCAGGGGACCTCGGACACATGGACCCTCTGCCTCCGCTCGGACATGACCTGGTCTGTGCTCTCTGACTCTGCAAACACACAAACGCACAAACACATTCAGTGCACCTGTAGAACTGGGATAAAACCATAAAAGACGTCTCAAAATCAATAAACTGTAATTAAAGGTTGAATTGTGAAATCGGGTCCACAAGACGTCAAACCCCTTATATCTATGTATGTATGACCAAGAACGCAAATACCACACCTTAGAGGAAGTAGTATAGCAATATTGATACTTTGCAGTCGCACTAAGGGTGTTCTACATGTATCTCTATGGTGAATGTTCAGTAGTTACCATGAATTGGACTGCACACAGTTTTAAATCATCTGAAAACTCAAGATAAAACACCAAATTGATTTAAAGAGCACACGTTGATGACCTGCAAAGAATCAATATCAGAAATAGGGATGGGCATTCGATGAAATTTTCTTAATCGATCGTCGGAAGAATTAACGATCGATTATCAATTAATCATTAACGTTTTTATATTAAAATGATCATCATTATTATTACCATCTGCACTACTAATCTGCATAAATAAATTCAACTTTATGACATATAAACCGTAACGACTCTAGAGCCACATCAGCCCGTTTGACATTATAATGTGTTTAATTCATTTTTGCACAAATCTCACAGAAACGAAACTTAAAACTGCATCGCTAATTTGCATAAACTCAGCGAAGATAAAACTACAGCTCTTGTGTCGCTGATGCGGTCAGTTTCTGTCGGATTAAAAGACATGACTCAGGTGAATACAGGTTAGTGTGACCATAGTTGTGTTTGTCAAAACCAGGACAGCGTACGGGGGGAGGGAGGTGGAGACTCGTCATCCACATTGAGCGACTCTCACCTGGTAAAACTTTTTCCCACTGGACACTGAAACATATGTGCTGCTTTGTTCACTGTGCACATGGACTCACACTTGTCCCGAACGCAACGGAAAGTGTGGAATTTCTTGTACAAATCATCGTTAAATACACATTTGTGCTTCGGTACGTTGCAAACTGACCGACTGTTTATGTCTCGCTCTTTCTGATGCAGAGACACATGTACGGACCCCTGTTTGGTCACGCTACACACAGCAACCTGCATTCGGATTGTCAATTAAAATGAACGTAATCGATGAAATTCTTAATGATCAATTATCGATTAATCGATTAATCATGCCCATCCCTAATAAGAAAAACTGTAGTGCGAGTAATAGTACAGGTTCAGTACAGTAGCACAGTGTTTCCCAAACTTTTTTCCATATTTTAAAAGTCACAAATCTTCGCAGCCCAAGTCAATAGACATTATTTGTAAATCACAAAATAAATTTGTGACCATTCTTGAACAGGATAATGATGATATTTTATTGTTGTCTGAGTGATCGTGTCTCACTGAACAATTAGTATTACCGTATTTTTTGGTTTATAAAACAGATTAAGCAAAACAAACAGATGATACTTGAGACTTGAAACTTTTTTTTATTTCCTACGAGGAGAACTCAAATATAGATTGATTAATAATGTTTTAATTCGGCTTTGCTCACATTTGTTTACATTTTACAGAAATGAAACTTAAAACCACATGACTCATTTGCATAAACTATAAGCGCTGAAAAATACAGCTCGCTCCTGGTGCGCTGATGCGGTTCAGCTTCTGTCGGACTAAAGAACACGACTCAGTGGAATATTTGTGAAAACTGGTTTGAGGCTAGTAAGCACAACCAGAATTAATACAAAAGCCAGTTTTTCTAAAATTATGGGATTTTAAGTGCACCTTATAGTCCAAAAAAAAAAAAAAAAAAACGGTACTCAAGTTTTAAACAATGAAAAACAGTAATCAGTGTTTCCCACAGAAAATTGTTAATTGGCAAGGCGGTGCACGGTGAAGAAGTGGGAAGCGGGGTGATGTATGTATATTTATATTGCAGAGCTGCATGATCGTGACAAGGAGACCCAAAAAAAATCTCTTGCATCCCAGTCTTTGTGAAACAATGCAGTAACAGACTTGTGATGAAGCTCTTCTCTTCTTCCTCAGGCCTCCAGAGTTTGGGTCCAGAACAAAGTGGATGAGTCCAAACATGAGATCCACTCGCAGGTGGACGCCATCACAGCCGGGACAGCGTCTGTGGTCAACCTCACCGCAGGTACCAGCCCTGGACACACTCACAATGTCTCTCTCATTGATATTACAAGTTGAAAATACAGTTTGCATTAAACTGAACTGTGCATTTCCCAATATCTATCAAATAAATAAGAAAACCCAAACAGATCTGGACAGAAACATGAATTAAATACAAAAAACAGTTCTCAGTTTTTCTTTTTGTTGCCATCTTCTAGAGATATTATGTCAATAACAATGGATTTTATTAAGAAGAGATGGAAAAATATTTTGATAGCAGTGAAATACATTAGACTTTTGGAAATAGTACTTCACAAACAGTAAACTTCTAAGCCTCTAAGTACTTTTTCTAATGGCACTTATCTCTTTTTGCAAATGAAACTTTATATATTATTGATACGTAAGATCTTGCAAGATGAAACTGCCACAAAACTGTGTCATGTGGAAAATATGATTATTTTTCTGTTTACGTTTGGCTTTTTAGGGGTTTAGTGCTGAGTTACGGGATTTGTCCAGGGGTGGGACTCAACATTCTATTGTAACCATCTGTGTTTTCCAGTTCACCTGAGCTGCCAAGTCTAAAAACACTTGTTTGACTTGACAAAGCTTAAATTAAACATAAACTTATAAGAAAAACAATAAATACATACACTACTGGTCAAAAGTTTTGGAACACCCTAATTTTTCCAGGTATTTATTGCAATTCAAGTCGTGTAAGTCCAATGAAGAGCTTGAAATGGTATAAAGGTAAGAAAAAAACTAACATAAAGACCCAAAACACAAGTCCAATTTCTGCCAAAACTACCTCAAGAAAAAACAACAAGATGGTAAAGCTTGAAAACCTGGAATGTCCAGCACAGTGTCCAGACTTAAACCCCATCGAGCTGGTTTGGGATGAACTGGACAGAAGAGTGAAGCAACCTACAAGTGCCACACATTTATGGAAACTTCTGCAACAGACTTGGGAAGAACTTTCTGAAGAATATTTGATTTCTGTTGTAAAAAGAACGAGCCACGAGTGTGTTCAGCTGTTATATCTGCCAAAGGTGGAACACTTTGATGAGTCAAAAGTTTAGAATACGTTTTGGTCTATGAATTAATTCCATGATTTCTTTTTCAACACAAATTGCTTAATTGATCTATGATTTCATTTCAGAGTTAAATGACACAATAAACTGAATAATTTTCTTTCTAAAACTTTTGACCGGTAGTGTACAAAATATGAGTCAAACTGAACAATTACTTTCATAAACTATGTCAAAATCTTTTCTTCAATCTTTTGTATCGTCTCGTCTCGTGTAAACTGTATCTCCGCCCCTAATGCGTTCGTTCTGCTGCTCAGGTGAGCCCTCGGACACGGACTACACGGCGGTGGGCTGTGCCATCACCACCATCTCGTCGAACCTGAGCGAGATGTCCAGAGGCGTGCGTCTGCTGGCCGCTCTGCTGGACGAACCCGTGGGCACCGGGCACAAACTGATGGCGGCGGCGAGGATGCTGTCCGCCGCCGTGTCCGACCTGCTGCGCTCTGTGGAGCCCGCTGCTGCTCAGGTCAGAACAAGAACCTCTGGTCTTTTCTTCTGGTACTTTGAGTTGTGGTGTTGACTCCAAAAATAGATATCTACATGGAGAACTTGCATTTGGAATATTATTGTTTTGGAGTAGTTTTTGACTAATACTAAGATACTAATAGGACATATCAAATAGCTGACTGCTTTCATGACACTTCTGACTGGTTTAAAAAAATATGTTTAAAAAAATGAAATTAAACTTGCCATTTGACTGTGTTTTTATAATATTTTATAATTTAAAAAAAGAAGACAGATTTTTTTTTTTTTTTTTGCAGAGCACAATCTTGAATTGTATACACACAAAATATTTGGTGTATAGAACTTAATGCTGATACCAGAAAGTGGCAGGAGTTCTGAATATATATTAAATCATTACTAAATCAATTTACATTCTTTTTAGCCTGTTTGCAAAAAATCAAATTAATTTTATGGATTCTGATTTTTAATCAAAACTTTTTCAAAATAATAATAATGAATAATGCATCAGTTGTATGCAGAGCTTTACAGAGCATTATTCATTCACTCTACACTCGGTGGTGGTAAACTACTATTGTAGCCACAGCTGCCCTGGGGCAAAGTGATGGAAGCGAAGCAATCTGCACCATCGACCCTTCCAACCACCACCAACACACACACACACACACACACACACCACTTTCATACTAGGCAATGTGGGGGAAGTGCCTTGCCTAAGGACACAATAACAGTTTTTGTGATTGGCGCCCCCCTGTGGTGCCTGATTTTCCCCGTGTTCTCCCATCCATGTACAAACCAGGCCCGGCCCTGCTGAGGCTCTGAGATCTGACAGGATCAGACTTTGACAAGCCGGTATTTCCACAGATTAAAATGCGAAACTGTGAAATGGAGGATTATTATGAAACAAGTTTACTCCTGACTTTCTTACTTCCAAAGCAAGTAATTACAGTTATATATCTACACAAATGTAACCAAAGACAGTTTACAATGTGTTAAATAACAACGTATGATTGAAGAATGAAAATGTAAAGAGCTTCCCCTGTTTGAAAGACAAGCATTCCCTGCTCTGACTTTGATTAAAATTTATAAAAACCTATTAAAATCATAATCGTCTAGTGTATGTACAGCAGAATTTAGATTTTATTTTTTGCCCGTATGATATGGCCCTATGCCTTTATATAATCACATCCTACTGTAGCTTGTTGTGTTTAACTTGTTGTTGATGTTGAGTTGTGTTTTTGGTGTTTTCAGCCCAGACAGAACGTTCTGACCGCAGCTGGGAGCATCGGTCAGGCCAGCGGGGACCTGCTCCGACACATGGGAGAGGGAGAGACAGACGACAAGTTCCAGGTGATTCTCTCTCTCTGTTTATCCGTTCATTTATCATCTACCGCTTTCACCTGTAAGACTTTGCTGTGGTGTTTTGTCGGGTGCACGTAGACACAGACAGACCTTCACTATTCATATTTCTACTTCTACCACGACATCTCGAGGATTCTGATGTTGTTCTCATAACCTTCACGGTACCTTGCACCTCACTTGTGTGAATCCCTGGAGGAGGACTGTGCTCTGTTCAGCTGAGATGTTTTTCCTTTGACCTTGAGCTAATTCTGTGCTCATGCTGATGACTATAATACCACCCTAAAGGCACTTTTACATCGTGATTTCTCCGTTCAGCTGAGACTGGAATGGATCGGTAAATGGATGCAAATCAGACCTGGACATGCCCACAGTCTGTCCGTCTACAGCGTCTCTCCTTCACTGTGGTTTTTCCTTAGACTCTATATATAAATGGACATAGCTAAACCTTTGCTTAATTCCTACTCAAGTAAAGGTAACCAACTAAAAATCTACTCGACTAAAAGTAAAAAAGTACAGTATTTTTCAGACCATAAGTCGCTTCGGAGAATAAGTCGCACCAGCCAAAAAATGCGTAATGAAGAAGAAAAAACATATATAAGTCACGCTTTTTGGGGGAAATTTATTTTATAAAATCAGAGACCAGGAACCGACATTTCATCTGGAAAGTCAAGTTCTAGTAATAACAATAGAAGAGAGAACAACAGACTGTTAACGTCACATATGAACAGTTCTTCAGACAATTATAACATAAACAACAGAACAGAACAAGTTTACCAAACTCTCCATCTCACTCCAAATCACTAAATCCATTCAATTCTTCATCCACGGTGTCACTTCTGAACAACTCGGCCTCAACCTCCGGAGGTAAACAGAGCGTCGCTTCCTCTTCTGCGTCGCTGTCGTCAGACTCAGCATCAGTTCCAGTTAGAATTATTCCGGACTTTCTGAATCCCGACAGGATGGTTTCGGTGTCACTGAAGTCCAGGCTTTGTCCATCCGTCCAGTGACTTCCAGGAAAGTTTCATGGTGCATCCTCCCGGTTGCCGTGAAGCTGTGTTCTCCATCCCCGCCTTTCGCCAGTCCCTCGTCCCCCCCTCCCGTACATCGCGCAGAACGTTCCCTCTTCCGTATGCTGCGTGGAATGTCTCCCCTCCAGTATGTCGCGCAGAAACGTCCCCCCTCTCGTATTCTGCGTGGAACGTCCCCCCTCCGTATGTTTTCATGGAACGTCCCCCCTTCCGTATGCCGTGTGGAATGTCCCCCCTCCTGTATGTCTCGCAGAACGTCACCCCCTCCCATATGCTTTCGTGGAACATCCCCCCTTCTGTATGTCGCGCAGAACGCCCCCCCCTATACGCCGCTTGGAACATCCCCCCCTCCCGTACGCCTCGTGGATCGTCCCCCATCCCATACGCTTCGTGGAACGTCTGTCCCCTCTCCTGTAGGCAGAGCGGACCGTCCCTCCTCCCAGACGTCGCGCGGGCCACACCACTAAACCAGAACTAAACTGGGACTAAACCAGGACTAAACATACAATAAACCTATTATTACACCAGACTGTCCATGTAAATGTCTGCCGATAGAATAATGTTTGAAATAAAACTAACCTTGCGTCGCATGAATCGTCGCATGTTGAGGGACTATTTTCTCATATATCAGTCCGCCACTGCCGAGCTTTCTATCAGAAAGAACAACTCACTGCTGCTCAGACAAATTCTTCAAATGCAAGATTAGTTTTATTTTCAAACATTATTGTATAGACACAGACATTCACACGGACAGTCTGGTGTAATAATAGATTTTCTTCGGGTGTTTTGTGGAGTGGGTAAGACTGTTTTTAGTAGTAGGATAACTATGACCATTGACATGCACTAGTCTAGAACCAGTGACCTCTACAAATACAAGGACTGGATGGAATATTTTAAAAAAGTGTCTCCACACGTCTCCAACACTCTGGCTCACTAGGAAATGAGCTCCTCTGTCCAAAAATCCGAACTTTCCCCTTTTTATCCACAGTTTTTTGGAGCTCACAACAAGACAACAAGAGTTAAAATAGCTCTAGAATGTTCCATGTGTGATGTGATGTTTGTGAGCGAGTCTGCTCTTCTGAACGGTTCCTTAACGTGAACGAGAGAACTGGGTCTGATTTTTTAAAGTATACAAATCTTTTTCTTTGTTTATTTCTTTTAATTTTTATGCATTTTTACACCGATTCACCCCGAACAAAGACAAAAATCAGCAGAGAAGCAGAGCAGGCAACATGACGGAGAGCTTCGTGCACAAAAACATATCTGACGTCTTAATAACAGTTTTTAATGATTATTATTATAATACAACATTTTATTTAGATTATGGATCATTTCATAGGGTAAACACTCTCCCACTCTCAGTTTGAACCATTTAAACAGATCTGAGCCTCGGACATTTCTCTGTGATTAGTTTGGAGATAAAATGAGTTCTCACAATAAATCTCATATAAATAAATATAAAGCGAGTCTTTTGAACGTCTCTTTGACATTTATTTATTTGTTTGACTTCATTTGATTGGGACGCTGCATATTAATGGACAGAAGTGATACAACGTGAATGTAAACACAGCGGATTATCGCCCAAGGCTCATTTCCATCTGTCGTCCCAAAGGGCTGCGCTCACAAAAGGCCAAACAATAAAGTTATTATTTATCAGTATCATTATTTCAGCTTGGCCACACATTCAAAACATTTACATTTTATACCCCTTCATATTTTCCCATACATACAAATCTGACACGAACAGATCCAAACGATTCAGATCCCATATGTTCCACAGTCTGGCTTTAAACTTACTCATTTTGTTCAAATCCAGGTGTTTCTGTTTAAAAATATCTTTCAAAAGCGTCCACATCTGTGACCTGTGACTTGACCTGAGGACTTCACTTGAAGATAAGACGTGCAGCTGGTCAGAGATGTGATGTCGATGTCGATCTGTTGCAGGACACGCTGATGAATCTGGCCAAAGCGGTGGCGAATGCGGCGGCCATGTTGGTGCTGAAAGCGAAGAACGTGGCACAGGTGGCAGAGGACACGGTGCTGCAGAACCGGGTCATCACGGCTGCCACCCAGTGTGCCCTGTCCACGTCCCAGCTGGTGGCCTGCACTAAGGTAAGACTCATGTACTCCTGTTCTATGAGACCAGCTGGGGTTTGGATCATTTACCGTGAGGTTGATGAGGTATTTGATTTCTGAAAAAAATGGGGGGAGATTTAAGTGACATGAGAGAGCAAGTTACGGTGAGTTATTTATTATAAAAGACTAAATTCTACCCAGATATGGCCTAATAGTGAAACTGTACAACTGAAATGATTTTGTCTCATATTGTGTCTGAAGTTGTGTTTGCAGTTTCCAGGAAAATTCAATTTCAAGTGCCTCTCCTGCAAAGTTACCATAATCTTACACAGGCACTTTTGATTTTGAGTGCTCAATAATATTGAGTCAATATTATTATTGTCTTGCTGAGTCAGCGATACAGTGATAAAAAATCGAATCAGTGTTTCTCCGTTTAATGCTGCTCTAAGTAAACCTGCACAGTGAGATGGATTCAATCCTTTTGATGGATTCAGAGATATTTGTAAGTTCACAAACTCACGAAAATCCATCTTGGCGTGTGTCTGCTGTAAAGTTAATCGAGCGAGTGGACCAATCATAGAGCAGCACTGAGTTTGGGTAGAAGCCAAAGATGAAGCACCCAAACAAACTAAAACAAAACAAACATGGCGATGCCGACAAGACATTACGTAACAAAATTAGATTTTTCGTCTTGTTCTGCCGTTGTGATGCTTTAACCAATTAGATTCAAATCGTTCCATGTTTTCCGATCCCTTTCAGCAAGAGCCTTCCCAGATTGATAAAGTAAAGTCAGTTCAGAAAGACACGAGTCTGGTGTGAGTTTAGTAGTAGTAGCTTAGTTGGTAGAGCAATCACCCACTGATCTGAAGGTTGGAGGTTCAAATTCTGGTGTGATTCCAGCTCCCACAGATGACTGCTGTCATTGTGTCCTTGGGCAAGACACTTAACCCACCTCGCCCACTGTGCCTGCGTACACTGGTACACTGGTACACTGGTGTGTGAATGTGTGAGTGCTTCCTTGTTGTAAAGCGTTTTGAGTGCCTTGAAGGTGGAAAAGCGCTATAGAAAAATGTGACATTTGTTACCATTTACCATTTACTCTAAGATAAAAAATAAACACTTTCCTTCTTTTCCTTCTTCTATTGCTCAAAGACTGAAGAGTGAACTCTCAAGAGCAGAAAACTTGAGCTCAGGCAGGAAACAATAACATGTTAAATCTTCATGAATCGTGATAAAATTGAAATTATAATCTGCCTTTAAGAAAATTAAGATTATTTTGTCTTAACACACTCCTGTGATTCTATTATTGGCAACCTGTACTGAGTTTGAGTTAATTTGTTCAGCAACTCTATTTAAAGCTTTTGTATTTATCAGAATTAATATGTGACAAACAAATTCCCCATGAAACCTTGTCCTGAAATAGAGACTCTTTGTCCTCATCGTACCTCTTGTCTGTGCAGGTGGTGAGCCCCACCATCAGCTCGCCCGTGTGCCAGGAGCAGCTGGTGGAGGCGGGGAAGCTGGTGGAGCGCTCAGTGGAGACCTGCGTTAAATGGTGCCGTTCTGCCAGTGACGACGCGGAGCTGCTCAAACAGGTGGGCGGGGCGGCGGCGGTGGTGAGTCAGGCGCTCAGTGACCTCCTCCACCACGTACGGCACTACGCCAGCTGCGGAGAGCCAATCGGGCGCTACGACCAGGCCACGGACACCATCATGAACGTGACGGAGAATATCTTCACTTCCATGGGCGATGCTGGTGAGTGAAAACAGCTCATATACACCACAAGACAAAAGTTTCTCTTGCCTTCACCATCTCTTTCATTGTGTGTTTTCTTTATGTTTCTTTACTGTTTACATTTTATATACCATATTTTTCGGACCATAAGTCACACTTTTTTCATGGTTTGGGTGTTTCCTGTGACTTATATATTAAAAATTTCACTCTGAAGAGAAGCTCTAGTCTTATATGTCAGTATCTGCTGCTCCTGTTCCTCCTGCACCACTGTCACTTCACTCTACTGCGCATGTGTCCTGCAGAAAGAGCCTCTGTCCTGTCTGTATCATGTCAGTCGATCGCACCATTACTTCTGTACATTTACAACTGTACAACATTTAAATAAACTTATGAAGACGACTGAGAAAACTGAACACAAATGCGCCCAAAAAGAAAATCAGATTTTGCAGATTAAAAGCTGCAAATCTTGAAAAATTCAGCTGAAAATGATAATCGAGCAGCAGAAAGAAAGTTTGGAGTGAGTGAGAAACTTATGGCATGGAGAGGATGCACCATGAAACTTTCCTAAAGTCACTGGATGGATGGACAAAGTCTGGACTTCAGTGACACCGAAACTATCCTGTCGGGATTCAGAAAGGCCCGAATAATTCTAACTATAACTGATGCTGAGTCTGACGACAGCGACACAGAAGAGAAAGCGGTGCTCCGTTTACCTCAGGAGGTCGCGGAGTTGCTCAGAAGTGACACCGAGGATGAAGAATTGAATGGATTTAGTGATTTGAAGTGAGATGGAGACACATATTCAGCCTGTTCTCTGTTCTATTGTTATTACTAGAACTTGCCTTTCGAGATGAAACGTTGGTTCCTGGTCTCTGATTTTATAAAATAAATTTCCCCCCCAAAAATGCGACTTATATATGTTTTTTTCTTCTTCATTACTCATTTTTTGGCTGGTGCGACTTATACTTCGGAGTGATTTATAGTCTGAAAAATACCAAAATATATGAAGCTAGATGTATGGAATTATGTAGCAAAGAAAAAATGTCAAATAACTACTACATTTAAAAAAAAATATTTCTATGCAAATCCACAAAGTACCCACCCTTTGATTTGTTGACAGAGCTGCAAACTTGGCCTTCTCTCAATGAGCTTCTTGATGAAGTCTCCTGAAATGTTTTTCAGTTCACAGCTGTGCCTTTTCAGGGTCCAGAAATACCAAAGTGCAAAGCGGTGATCAAAGCCAAGTTATTCTGAGTTTATTTCTTGTTTCTTGTTTGCAGTGAGAATCTACAGTGTAAATAATGATGGAAAACGAAGAAACAAAAGAAAAATGTGTCCAAACGTTTGAGTGGTCGTGTACACAGCAACTTTAGTTTCGTAAGATTTTGTGGGCAGGCAAGGCCGATGCAGACGCACAGCATGGGCTTTCTTTTCTTTTCAAATGCAGCAGAAAGCGATCCTTCCTCACAACAAATGATTCTACTCCCTCAAATCAGCCTGTGACCAGTGCTAAAAACATGAATACGGTAGATATGTCCTCCCAAATATCCCTGTGGATCATTAAGAACAAACCTTGGAACAAATTGAGTCTGTCCTTCTTCCTCCAGCCATCGAAAATCTGACATTTCTCACGTTCGCTGCCATTTCTGTTTTGACACAGCGGATGTCCGTGCTTTGGTCTGATTGGCTTTCGCAGCTGTCAGCGCCGTTTGAGCTCCAGGGGCTGAAACAGATGCAAATCTTGACATCAAATAGGAAATGAGTTCATCTTGGCTTCTCAGACGAACAGAAGTTGAAAACAGAGTGTCACTTTTACAGTATAATCCCAAACTTTTTAATTATTTTCAGGCAACATTATAGGGCTCCCCATTGTACTGGAGAAAACTGACTTTTTAAAGGTTCTGTATTACACAAAATTGACTCTTGTGCGCTTTTAGTTATGTTAGAATGTCGTTACCTCCTCACAGACAGACCCGGAGTTGTTTTGTTAGCCTGATTCATCAGCCAGTTTGACTTAGTGGAAACCGTCTGACCTCACAGCATTAGGATTCGTTCGCTCGACGGTCGGCGGGTACTTTTTTAATTTAACAAATCGCTGCTATTTGGACGTGACGTATGTAATTAATTAACTGGTATATTAAGCTTTTCCCAAATCCCGTAGGAAGAAGCGCAATAACGTCTTTCCCCGTGATAAAATTCACCAAACATTCTCTTTGTTCTGGCTTTAAATCCTCGATCTCGGGAATCGTTGCCATCATCTACATCCATCTCGACACTTGGTTTACTGTTGTGTTGTTCAACAAAAGAGACCCAGACAGGTGCGACGAGTTTGACGTCATGGCTTCACAGCTCTTCGCTGATTGGACGGTGTGCGGTTTACGACTCTAGTGTATTCTGATTCCTGACCTAGTCGCTGGAGAGAAATGAAATTGAGTGGAGGCACTAGGTTGCGCCGGCCTGTAGTGTTTTGTTTCATTCATACATGTTTGGGTTATCCTTCATTATTAGTCGGTCTACAGCTCCAAACCACAAAATGCTCTGTTCCACCTTGTGATGTCATGAAACAGATCAAACAGTAGTTTTCAAGTTAAGACAGACCTGGCATTGTGCAGCTCCTGGGCCACATACAATCCTTTGGTTGACTCTAACCAGCCCGTTTAAGATATTGAACATGAATGGACTAAAGCTGCATTGCTTTTATTTTAGAGGTGTGTGTGTGTGTGTTTTTTTTTTTTTTATTACAGTTTTTGTAAGGCAGCCTCACTTTTTCATTGCTTAGTCATAACATAAACTCTTTCCAGTCTGAGCAGCTTGTCAAAACAATGATATTTACTGCTTTTTATAAAGAAATACAATTCATATTATGCAGAATTGAGTTAAGCACTTTGGCCTGGCCTTCCAAAATATTTTCTGTTTCTCATGTGGCCCCATGAAAAACAAATAACTGCCCACCCCTGCGTTAAGAGATTGACAATTCCGGGTCTTAAATTATCCAAATTATTCTTGTGACGGTGTATGGAGGACCAGACCACTTCCTGTATCACCACATGACATCACAAGGTAGAACAGAGTGTTTTCTATTTGAGAGAATTCAGCCTAAATATGATGAACATGTGTGAATGAAAAAACACAACTCCAGATATGTTTTTGACAAGGAAACATTACAACATACATCAGAAAATCGAGTAATATGGGCCCAGTTCACAACAACAGAACTGACAGCGCACTGGATGAAGAACCAAAGAACTTTTAAGATGCTTTCTAACCTTGTTTTGAAATCATAAAACAGATTAAACCCCACCCTGCTAGATTAATGACTCTGATTGGTCAGGGAGAAAGGACCAGACCACATTCTGACAGCGTTTCAGGCACTGCCGCACAAAGGCCGTGTTTTCTTGTTAGGGTTTGTTGACCTGGTTGTAAATCCTCTCATGACTGTTTGTTGTGTCATGGCCAGCTCTGAAGGGGGGGCTGTCTGGTTTAAATCAGAGAGAGGGTGCCTCCCAGAGCTAACTGGAAACACATGAGCGGGGCATTGAGACGTAACAGTGCACATGTGGGGTATTCCTGATGAGAACGTTCAATGAAATTTACAGTGCGGTTTTGTTCATGGGAACCAGAGATGCATTATTTATTGTAAGTGTCTGTTTTCACTCTCAGACACTGATAACAACCATTTACAACCGCCCACTTTAGTATGTTACTCTTGGTCCCTCGTTTATCGCTGGGGTTATGTTCTAAAAATAACCCGCGATAGACGAAATCCGCAAAGTAGTCAACTTTATTGCTGTAAAACCCCTCACCACACACTTTAAACACTTTTCTCAGACAGGACAGTTACAACCCTTTTTGCATCCTTCTTTAAACTTACTGTTGCTGTCGTCCTTATGTTATTTTTCTCCTTCTTTATGTAACAAACTGATGATTAATTTATTCCGTAATGGCGCCCTACAACCGCGTAACTTCTACCTTCCTTCAGCGTGTCCAGAAGTCCAACTTTTTGTGCGATGGTTGGCTTTTTCCAGGCCGGCGCCACCTAGTGCTTCCGCTCAATCTCATTTCTCTCCAGCGAGCAGGTCAGGAATCGGAATGCACTAGATGGTTTGCAAGAACCCCGGAAGTGCAAGTCCAGGCACCAACCAACAGTGTTGGGAGTAACGCGTTATAAAAGTAACGAATTACAGTAATGCATTACTTTTTGCTGTAACGCAGTAATGTAAGGCATTACAGGGGAAAAAATAGTAATATTTTACTCGGTACAAATGTGAGTAACGCGCGTTACAATGTTTTTTTAACCTGGATTGAAGTGGTGGGTTTTTCTTCATACAAATTCGCTAAAATCACCTCGATATCAGCAGTGGTGAAACGCCGGAACATGCGCCCTCGTAGACCTTCAGGTGACCGCGGGCGAAAGGACTGACAAAGAACTCCACGCTGTTTAGACCTGGTTTAGACCTGGGTCAGTTCTGGTTTAGACCTGGTTTACACTCGTCCCTCCCTCTATCGCAGTTCACTTTTCGCGGTCTCGCTGTTTCGCAGATTTTTTTTAATTTTTGTTTTTTTTAGTGCAATTTTGCATGCCCTTTTTTTTTTTACATTGTATGATCACGTGTTGTGTTCCTCCCGCTGCGTCCTGACTGGCCAAGGGACTCCTGTCTCCTGTACAGTACAGAATGTGTTCAGCTGCCAAATTTAAATACATGTTTAATCTCTAGCAGTGTGATTCTGAAGTGTTGTACGGTTGCAAGTTTTCTCCCCGACGAAACCCACAACGTCGACGAAACGTTCTGCACCGACAAAGGCTCCTGCGCTTGCACCCAAAAGGCAGAGGAAGATGCAAACCATCACACAAAAAGTTGGACTTCTGGACACGCTGAAGGAAGGTAGAAGTTACGCGCTGTAACAGAATCTTGCACCGGCTCAGGTCCCTGCAAATAGCTGCTGAAATCAGGGCCGCGAGCCCGAGCAGCAGGGTCCATAAAGAGCGATCGGGTGACAGCCGCTCTTACCTCCATGAGGTGTGGAGCAGAGCCGCTCCTTTCTCCTGCGTCACCTTCAAGCCCTGTCCCCACAGTGAGTCCTGTTTTAGTCCTAGTTCAGTTCTGGTTTTAGTCCTGGTTCAGCTCTGGTTTAGTCCTGGTTTAGACCTGGTTTAGTCCTGGTTCAGTCCATATACAGTGCAAAAGATATTTTGGTGAGAGTAACTTAAAGTAATGCAATAGTAATGTAATGCCTTACATTTTAAATGCAGTAATATTGTAATGTAACGAATTACTTTGAAATGACAGTAATAGGTAATAAATAATGCATTACAGTTTCAAAGTAACTTGCCCAACAGTGCCAACCAATCAGCAAAGTGCCATATATGCTGCGTTGGCAACGATTCCCGAGATCGAGGATTTAAAGCCGGAACAAAGAGAATGTTTGGTGAATTTTATCAAGAGGAAAGACGTTATTGTCCTTCTTCCTACGGGATTTGGGAAAAGCTTAATATCACAGTTAGCCCCGTTAGCGGCGCATTACATACATCATGACCAAATAGCATCGGCTGGTTATATAAAAAAAAGTACCTGCCTACCATTGAGTGAACGAATTCTAATGCTGCGAGGTCGGCTGATGAATCAGGCTAATCTTCCTCTGACTTTTGGGTGTGGCCGCAGGAGCCTTTGTCGTTGCAGAAAGTTTCGTCGACACTGTGGGTTTTGTCAGGGAGAAAACTTGAAAACATACAGCACTTCAGAATCACACTGCTAGAGATCGACCATTTATGTAAATCTGGCGAGCTGAACACATTCTGTACTGTACAGGAGACACTGCATGAAGCAGATTGATTGACAATGGTGTACAGTCCCTTGTCAATCAGGACGCAGGGGGAGGAACACAATGCGCATTCATACTCTGTAAAAAAAAAGCATGCAAAATTGCACACACAAAAAATCTGCGAAACAGCGAGACCGCGAAAGGTGAACCGCGTTATACTGAGGGACGACAGCGTTCATAATTTTAATCTTTAGAAATGGATCAGTTTTCTGATCTATTGTATCTTATAATTAGGGCTGGGTATCATTATGAAGTTGTCGATACATACCTCGATACATAGGCCACGATACAATAAGCTTTTCGATACAGCGAACTTTCGATTCAGTGCGATTTGATATGATATATTTGACATTGATTCAATACGGTTCAGTGAATAAAAGGCAAAATCATGGCTGTGATACTAAAAATTTTACCAAGTCCACTAAGTTTATGTAAAGTTAATATGAAAAACCTCAATTTTACTTATCAAAACAGTGAAAATGTCAACACTTTTGTGGCTTTTACACAAAATAATCTAGTAAAATATACAAAAAACGATTAAACGATACGATATATCGATATTTCAATATTTTTGCACACCCCTAGTGATAATGTTGTTTTCTCATCACAAACACACCTGAGTTGTGTTTTGTTTCATTCATACGTTTACCACACGGGCGGCACGGTGGCAAAGCTGGTTAGAGCTCTTGCCTCACAAAGAAAGTCCTGGGTTCAATTCTGGAGTCTGTGTGGAGTTTGCATCTTCTCCCGGTGCCTGTGTAGGTTTCCTCCGGGTATTTTGGTTTCCACTACCAAAAAAAACAGGACTCCCCCAAAAAAGAGAAAAAAAGAGATTCTGAATCTCAGCGGGACAAGAAATAAACGTCCCTGAAATAAAGGTCAAATATTTTGGTTGAGTTCTTCTCCAAAACGGAAAACCCTCTGTTCCACGTTGTGTGTGGTGTGAAAGGAACTGCTCCATTGTGTTTTTAAACTCCATACACCTTCACTAGAATCATTAGGATAATTTCAGCTATGGAATCGTCCATCTCTACTGAACTAAAGGTACAAAGTTAAATGTTGACTTGAAAACAAAGTTAGATCAAGACAGTTAGGTCAGATACAGTAAATTTTGTGTAATATAGAGCCTTTAGATGGATAAATAAATAAAATCTTGTTTGCAGAATGTCTCCGTATGCTTGGTATTCATATGTGTTCCTGTTTTCTAAATTTGTCTTTGGTGTATTTGTGTGTTTGTGTGTATTTCAGGTGAGATGGTGCGTCAGGCCCGGGTTCTGGCTCAGGCCACCTCAGACCTGGTGAACGCCATGAGGTCCGACGCCGAGGCCGAGGTCGATGTCGACAACTCCAAGAAACTCCTGGCAGCGGCCAAACTGCTGGCAGACGCTACGGCCAGGATGGTCGAGGCCGCCAAGGTGAGTGTGTACAGAAAGAGTCGCTGAGAGTACACGGAGCTGATGAAAAGGCTGCAGGTCTGAGGTATAGATCCTCTCAGCACATCACCGTACGGTTCATTGATCTGAGGAGTTCATTAATTAAAGTTTTGTAATGTTCACAATATTTCACACATAGGCTGGATTTTATAGCCAACACTTATCTCGGCCATTGTTCTGATCTAAACTAGAACACATGATGAAAATGCTCCAGATTTGATATAAATAGATACATATGATATAGATATACAATAACCTCACTAGATTACTGTGGGGTTCATTGATTTAAGGAGTTGTTTCTATTAAAATCTAAATATTGGTTGAATTTTTATAACAAATACAGATTTTCTCCTTAGTACATTCATAATCTTTTTAGAGAAGGCTCCTGGTCTGTTCTGATTTCCTCATGTCATCGTCCAATGAAGCTCATTTGGGCTTCCGATAATTTATGTTTTTAGGTTATTTTTTGAGACCAAGATTTTGTTTTCATACCTGACAGTTTCGACTGCTCATTAGCGCTCTTCTTCAGAGTCTCATGATGTTGCTGTGACGTGTCGCTCAGCTGATTTAAACAGATTTTGGCGCTGTCTTCCTACCGGTGGAGGCAGGACGACAGCGCCATCTGCAGTCCCACTTCCTCAGGGCAGTATCCCAGGTGCGCTGTTGTCCTGCCTCCACCAGTAGGAAGACACCACCAAAACCTGTTTAAATCAGCTGAGCGACACACCACAGCAACATCATGTGACCACTCTGAGGAAGACCGCAGGGAGCAGTCGAAACTGTCAGGTTTGAAAACAAACACTTGGTCTGAAAAAATAATCTAATAACATACTTGTGTCATCACTTGGCTGACAGGAGAATAGAAAGCTGCAACAGCTCGACACAAACTCTGCTGAAGGGCTCAGAGCAGATCTTCACTCACAGCCTGAGACGGTTCTGTTCTGAGATGCCTCTGTTTGTGTGACACTGATCTTCTCTCTCTGTTCTTCAGGGAGCAGCTGCGTATCCAGAGAACGAGGAGCAGCAGCAGAGGCTCCGGGAGGCAGCAGAGGGTCTGCGCGTGGCCACCAACGCCGCAGCTCAGAACGCCATCAAGAAGAAACTGGTCAACAGGCTGGAGGTGAGACACTCTGGAGACACATTCACTTAGTATAAATCCAGCTTATCCAATCAAACTAATGCATGTTTGTTTAAGAGGATTTGAACATTTAGTACTTTGTACTGTCACCTTTTTAATCCAAGTAAAACCCTTTGAAACTGACTTAGAGCAAAACTTGATTTACATTTATTACTTTTAAACAGGTTGCGGCGAAGCAGGCGGCTGCTGTCGCCACTCAGACCATCGCCGCAGCTCAGAACGCCGCTGTGTCCAACAAGAACACCGCCCTGCACCAGCAGCTCGTGCACAGCTGTAAGGTACGTGCACAACTGTGCGGTACGGACATGTGTATAAGGTACATGCACTGCTGTGAAGCACAAGCGCAGCTGTTAGTTGTACGGGCTGGAGGCTGACACGACATGAACATGCTTTTTACAAGTTTAATAGGTATTCAGTGATAATAATATTTTCTTCAATAAATCACATGCTGATATGGTGCATCCATCCATTTTCGTCCGCTTATCCGGGGCCGGGTCGCGGGGGAGCACTAAGCAGGAACTGACTTCCTTCACCCCACACGTCCTCCAGCTCCTCCAGGGGGACCCCGAGGCGTTCCCAGGCCAGCCGAGAGACATAGTCCAGCGTGTCCTGGGTCTTCCCGGGGCTCCGGCGGGACATGCCCGAACACCTCCCGAGGGAGGCGCCCAGGAGGCATCCGAACATGCCCGAACCTCACTGGCTCCTCTCGACGTGGAGGAGCAGCGGCTTACTACGTGTGACTGAGCTCCTCACCCTATTTAAGGGAGCGCCCAGCCACCCTGCGGAGGAAACTCATTTCTTGTATATCTCGTCCTTTCGGTCAAGCTCATGACATATGAATGATAAATCGAGAGCTTCTTTCAATAAATCATCATGCTGATATGTCCTTCCCTCACTCGTGAACAAGACCCCGAGTACTTAACTCCTCCACTTGAGGCAAAGAAAAATAATTTCAATTCATTATTAATTGAAAGTCTCACATTTACAGGCAGTGGCAGACGGGATCCCTCAGTTGGTCCAGGGGATGAGGAGCAGTCATTCTCAGCCTGAGGAGCTCGGGGCTCAGCTCGCGCTCATCATGGCGAGTCAGACCTTCCTCCAGGTGAGACACAGGACAGACAACCGACAAGATGAATATTAAGACAGAAACTACAAACTCTTTCTCCTTTATGATCTCTCAGCCCGCGAGCAGGATGGTGGCCTCGGCGAAGTCAGCTGTTCCGACCGTCGCTGACCAAGCGGCCGCCATGCAGCTGGGACAGTGTGCCAAGAACCTGGCCACGTCCCTGGCAGAGCTGAGGACCGCCACACAGAAGGTACCAGAAGGACGGTGGCAGGGGATTAACCATCCATTTGAACAATATTACACTGTCCTTTGTAAAGTCCTCAAAGTGACCAGCTATTTTTGTTTTGAGTGAAATCCTGTGTTTAATCAATAGGCCTATGAAGCCTGTGGTCCTCTGGAAATCGACTCCGCGCTCAAAACTGTGCAGACGCTGAAGAGTGAGCTCCAGGACGCCAAGATGTCTGTGATCGAAGCCCAGCTGAAGCCTCTACCAGGGGAAACGGTCTGTGAACAGTAACCAGCAAATATCTAAACATAAAAGTATTCACAATCAGTGTTGAGACTAATCCGTTATAAAAGTAATGAATTACAGTAAAGTGTCCCTTTTTGCTGTAACGCAGTAATGTGGCATTACGGTACAAATGTGAGTGACCGTCGGGTAACTGCGGGCGAAATGACAGACGAAGAAGCCCACGCTTCACAAGGCGAAGAGCAGGCGACGCCCAATCGCACTTTGCGGACACCCTGCTCCGAGTTTTCTCAGGGGTGGTCCTAGATTCAAAGTCCTGGTTTAGTCTTGGTTTAGTCCTGGTTCAGTCCTGGTTCAGTTCTGGTTTAGACCTTGTTTAGTCCCGGTTCAGTCCTGGTTCAGTCCTGGTTTAGTCCCGGTTTAGTCCTGGTTCAGTCCTGGTTCAGTTCTGGTTTAGACCTTGTTTAGTCCCGGTTCAGTCCTGGTTCAGTCCTGGTTTAGTCCCGGTTTAGTCCCGGTTCAGTCCTGGTTTAGTCCCGGTTTAGTCCTGGTTCAGTCCTGGTTCAGTCCTAGTTTAGACCTGGTTCAGTCCTGGTTCAGTCCTCAGTTCAGTCCTCGGTTCAGCTCTGGTTTAGACCTGGTTCAGTCCTTGGTTCAGTCTTCGGTTCAGACCTAGTTTAATCCTGGTTCAGTCCTGGTTTAGACCTGGTTTAGTCCTGGTTCAGTTCTGGTTTAGACCTGATTTTTTCCTGGTTCAGTCCTCGGTTCAGCTCTGGTTTAGATATGGTTCAGTCCTGGTTCAGTCATGGTTTAGTCCTGGTTCAGTCCTTGGTTCAGTCTTCGGTTCAGACCTAGTTTAGTCCTGGTTCAGTTCTGGTTTAGTCCTGGTTCAGTCCATATACGGCGCAAAAGTTCAGCATCATTGCTAACTTTAAAGTAACACAATATTCGTATTATGTTTTACATTTTAAACACAGTAATATTGTAATGTAACAAATTACTGTGAAATGACAGTAACAAGTCATAAATAACACATTACAGTTTTGAAGTAACTTGTCCAACAGTGTTCACAATATCCAGAACTGCTTCTTATTCCTGCACAAAGTGACCCTGATCCTGTATAATGTGTGTTAACTCTAAATACTGAAATTCTGACTGGTGTGTTTCTTTAAAGCTGGAGAAATGTGCTCAGGACTTGGGCAGCACCTCTAAAACCGTGGGCTCGTCTATGGCTCAGCTCCTGACGTGTGCTGCTCAGGGCAACGAACACTACACAGGTCTGTACACAAAGTTTACTTACAATAATAATATATTGAACTCCAGGTCTGTTTGTGATGAGGAAACTACATTATAACATCAGAAAATAGCATAATATGTGCTGTAATATACGCTCAGTGCATCCTCATTGGTCTTTATCAGGAGTCGCTGCCAGAGAAACTGCCCAGGCCCTGAGGATCTTGGCACAGGCGGCTCGGGGGGTGGCAGCCAGCAGCCCGGAGCCACAGGCAGCGGCGGCTATGTTGGATTCTGCCCAGTGTGTGATGGAGGGCTCGGCCATGCTCATCCACGAGGCCCATCAGGCTCTAGTGCACCCGGGAGACGCCGAGAGCCAACAGAGACTGGCTCAGGTAATACACACGACAGAGATAAATCAGGCACCGAAAACTACAAATAGAGAGACAGATCAGGTACTAAAGACTACAGATGGAGAGAGATCATGTAGGGTCATCAGAGTTCACTGTTTTGTGCAAAAGTCACTGCCTCTGAAACGTTTTGCAGTTCTTTCAGTTTGCATCAGATTATTAAAAGGAATATTGTTGGGATGACTAATAAAAAATACCTATAATAATTGTAATTACAAACATTTTCAGGTGGCCAAAGCAGTGTCCCACTCACTGAACAACTGTGTGAACTGCCTGCCCGGACAGAAGGACGTGGACATGGCCCTCAGGAGCATCGGAGAGGCCAGTAAGAAACTGCTCGTGGAGATGGTGAGACTCAAATACTGTTAGACCTCAGTCATGAATGTTCAGAACTTTCACGTCATTTCCTCAATTACATAAAACTGTATTTGTATTAGAAAAACCCTCTTGTGGCACGGCGGCTGCACTTGAACTTTACAGTAAGAATGGTCCAGGTTCGATCTCCAGGTCGACCGGGCCTGTCTGTGTGGAGTTTGCGTGTTCTCCCCGTGTCAGGGAAGGTTCTCTCCGAGCTCTCTGTTTCCCCCATCAGCCCAAAACATGTACCATAGGTCTATTCTCCCAGTTAATGTAGTCCTGACCAAGCCTTAGCAGCAAGATCATGGAGAATGGGTTCCTAAATTTCCCTACAGGAATAATAAAGTGCACCTTAACCTTAAGCTTAAACTTACAGGTGAATAGTGGGGTCGGTAGCAGTAGTGGGGGCTCATGGTGTTATGTCCAGCCAAGCCCCGAGGTCTTAAAATGTCCACACACTCAAGTCAATGGGCCGAGCTCAAAGGCGCATGATTCCAGATTCGCCTTTAGCCCGGTGAGGTACTTCAGTGTCTCTGGGTCGATTGAGCACGTGCAGTAGTGCTCTTTTCTCCCATGGGTACATGTGAATGCACAGGAACACACGCACGGAGCACAGGCTCGTGTATCATGTGATCGCTTTGACCAATCAGACCAGAGCCGGAGCGAATGACTATAAAGCTGTTTTTAAGACGAACTGAAGGATTTTGAGCTGAGAAAAATTTTATAATCTAAAAATAGGTAAAAATCGCCACAAAATCCAACATTTTTGAAAGCTGTAGGTGCCCCGTCAGCCAAACATGAGCAGTTTTGATTACACTGTGCTCTTTTTTCGCTGTAGTACCAGTGAGGGGCCACTACGTCAACTGGAAGCAGCTACAAGGAGCAACACCCTCCAGTTATTTTAGTAGATCCATGTATCCACCAGAGAATTAGAGTTTTTGATTTATTATGAGTGTAAGGGTGCTCCTGACTGACCCTAAGTACAAATTAAGAATGCTTCATGCCTGAGGCCCATTCTTCTGTGTATAAGTCATGTCACTAGATGATTAGTTGTTTTAATTCTAACGCTGTTGTGTGTGTAGCTCCCTCCCTGCAGTAAGACCTTCCAGGTGGCTCAGAGCGACCTCAACAGCTCTGCGGCTGAACTGAACCACTCTGCTGGGGAGGTGGTTCACTCGTCCAGAGGGACCAGCAGCCAGCTCGCCGCCGCCTCGGGCAATTTCAGTAAAGACTTTGATGAGTTCCTGGACGCTGGAATCGAAATGGCAGGACACACCCAGGTATGAGATCATGCCCCCTTCAGTGTTTACTACAAGTAATATGTGTTTGATACTGAATATGAAGAACTGTCACAAATATAAATGTTTTAAACTACTGTGTGTCTATAGGAGGCATCTTTTCTCTGTATCAGAATAGAGTCGATCTTTTGTTTCTATTTCAGAGCAAAGATGATCAGATCCAAGTCATTGGGAATCTGAAGAACATCTCCATGGCTTCCAGTAAACTGCTGCTGGCTGCCAAGTCTCTGTCTGTGGATCCAGGAGCCGCCAACGCTAAGAACCTCCTCGCAGTGGCAGCAAGGTCAGGGAGACCAGCTCTATAATAGAACCAAACTGTATACTGTATTTTTCGCACTATAAGGCGAACCAGATTATAAGATGCAATATTAATAATGTTGAATTGTCTTGTCTATTTTCATACATAAATTGTACCGGATTATAAGACACATTAAGTGAAACAAACAGACGACACATGAGACTGATCCTTAGTCCAGGCGTCCACGATCCATTTTGCAGATCCTTGTGTAATTCGCCCGGCGTTGCCTCCTTGTCTTCGTGAATGTGGATTATGAATGTGAATGTGGGTGGATCATTTAAGCTTGTTTTTCTTACTTCCTCCAAGGACAACTCAAATATACATTGAATATTAATGTGTTTGGTGCCGCTTTGCCACATTTGTTTATGTTTTACAGAAACAAAACTTAAAACCACATGGCTCATTTGCATAAACTATAAGCACTGAAAAACAGTTCGCTCTTTTTGCGCTGATGCGGTTCAGCTTCTGTCGATACTTTAATGTTCCAACAATCCATCAAGCGGTACAGCTTCATAGTTTACCAAAGTTGTACTAAAACATTTTGACAGATTTTTGAGTGCCGTGTACCACAGAAAATCGGTTTGAGATCAGTAAGCACAACCAGAATAAAGACATATGTCACACCGGATTATAAGGCGCGCTGTCGATTTTTGAGATAATTAAATTATTTTAAGTGTGCCTTATAGTCTGAAAAACATGGTATCTATTTACACTACCGGTTAAAAGTTTGAACACATCTTTTTTTTTTACCTATATGTGTATGTATGTACCTATGTATGTATTTTTTCTTTAAGTTTAGTACTTTCTGCATTTCACAAACTTACAGAAGACCTCAAATATTAGCCAGGCTGGTGTCACCTAGTGCCTCCGCTCAATTTCATTTCTCTCCAGCGACTAGGTCAGAAATCGAAATACGGTTCACAAAAATCTTGGAAGTGTGAGTCCAGGCACCAGCCAATCAGCAAAGAGCCAGACATTCTGTGTTGGCAACAAGATCGGCCCCGATCCCCGAGGTCGAGGATTTGAAGCCGGTACAAAGAGAATGTTTGGTGAATTTTATCGAGGGGAAAGACGTTATTGTCCTTCCTACGGGATTTGGGAAAAGCTTAATATACCAGTTAACCCCATTAGCGCCGCATTACATACGTCATGACCAAACCACCGTCGAGCGAAAGAATTCAAATGCTTCGAGGTCAGACGGTTTCTATGGCGTGAAATCAGCTGATGAATCAGGCAAATATATTATTACATATAGAATTATGTAGCAAAGAAGAAAAGTTTAACACAATTCTTAAAATATCCACACTTTGCTTTGTTGACATCACTGCACACACTTGGACTTTTCTTCACTGAGCATCATGATGATGATGTCCCTGTAATGGTTTTCCACTTCACAGCTGTGTTAAAAGTACAAACCCGTGATCAAAGCAACGGGTGGATATTTTTAAGTTTTTTAATCTAAAACAAGTTATTTTTATTTGATTTTTGGCTTATTACATCCCACGTGTTCATAGTTTTGATGCCTTCAGTGAGAATCTGCAGTGCACATAATCATGAAAATAAAGAAAAAACGTAAATGAAAAAATGTGTCCAAACTTTTGACTGGCAGTGTATTTATATGTATTTATATAACATTTCCACAGTTAGATCATTTTTCCGTGCTGTTGTTGGCTGCAGGGAGGCGGCTCTCATGTTAAAGTCTGTTCTGTTGTGTGTGTTTGTGTGTGTTTTTGTGCGTGTTTGTTTTACAGGGCGGTGACTGAGAGCATAAATCAGCTGATCACACTGTGTACCCAGCAGGCCGCGGGGCAGAAGGAGTGTGACAACGCCCTCCGCGAGCTCGAGGTACTGCCCCCGTCCCCCTCACATTTATGTCCACTGCCCAGACTGTTTTAATTTATCAACAGGAAAAGCAAGAAAGATTATATTACGCAAATGTTTCCTGTATTACGCAAATTTTACTCTTGTGGGTTTTAAGTAGTGTTGTAGTGAAGACCACACAAATGGAGACCAAGACCAGTGAGATCACAGGATCCCGAAACAAGACTAAGACCTCTGAGTGTCGAGACCGAGACAAGACCGAGACTTTTAAAGGTTAAAACTGAGACAAGACCGAGACATTTGAAGGTTGAGACCGAAACAAGACCGAGATTTTTAAAGGTTGAGACCGAGAAGAAGACCGAGACTTTTAAAGGTCAAAACTGAGACAAGACTGAGACTTTTAAAGGTTGAGACAAGACCGAGACTTTTAAAGGTTGAGACTGAGACAAGACCGAGACTTTTAAAGGTTGAGACCGAGACAAGATCGAGACTTTTAAAGGTCAAAACTGAGACAAGACCGAGACTTTTAAAGGTCTGAGACTGAGACAAGACCGAGACTTTTAAAGGTTGAGACCGAGACAAGACCGAGACTTTTAAAGGTCAAGACCTGAGACAAGACCGAGACTTTTAAAGGTTGAGACCGAGACAAGACCGAGACTTTTAAAGGTCAAAACTGAGACAAGACCGAGACTTTTCAAGGTTGAGACCGAGACAAGATCGAGACTTTTAAAGGTCAAAACTGAGACAAGACTGAGACTTATAAAAGTTGAGACGGAGACCACGGCCCATCGAGACCAAATCAAGACCATCTTTGTCATTTTCTAAATTTATTTGTATTTTACAGTTATTTTGACACATATATATCAATGTTTTTATAAATCTATCTCCATTTGATCTGATTAATGTGCATTTAAGTTTAAAATAGGCCAAGCAAACTGTAGTGTACTTAAACACATCCCTTTTTTGGACCCTCACCACAGTTTGAGAACCTCGTCTTTAATCCCGCTTCCACTGGCACTTTACTGAAAACAACTTCAAATTTAATCAAGTGGGTTTTGTCAAGTTCATAACATTTACATTTACATTATCTTACTGGTTTTGCGGTGATATTTTAGCCAGGCTGGCGCAACATAGTGCCTCCGCTCAGTTTCTCTCCAGCGACTAGGTCAGGAATCAGAATACACTAGATGGTTTGCAAGAATCCAAGAAGTTGTAAACCTCGCACCGGCAAGTCATTGAAGAGCTGTGAAGCCATGACGTCAAACTCAAGTGCCTGTCTGAGTCCCTTTTGTGGAACAGCACAACAGTAAACAAAGCGTCGAGATGGATGTAGACGAAGACAGACATTCTGTGTTGGCAATGATTCCTGAGATCGAGGATTTAAAGCCAGAACAAAGAGAATGTTTGGTGAATTTTATCAAGGGGAAAGACGTTATTGTCCTTCTTCCAATGGAAGTTGGTGCATTACATATGTCATGACCAAATAGCAGCATTGGTTAAATAAAAAAAACACCTGCCTACCGTCAAGCGAACGAATCCTAATGCTGCGAGGTCTGACGGTTTCCACGAAGTGAAACTGGCTGATGAATCAGACTAGTGATATTTAGCAGCCTCTGCACATTTACCAACCATAATGAAATATGATCGTACTCGTCGAATGTCACAAGACCGAGACCAAGTTCCATCAAGACCGAGACAAGGCCAAATCTAAATGCGTTCGAGTCCGAGATGAGACAAAGACCGTAAAAAAAAAAAGGTTTCAAGACCAAGACCGGTCTCGAGTACTACGACACTAGTTTTAAGGAATGTTATAATGCTGTTATAACATACCCAGGGTTGTGTTTGAGTAATCCTTTATTATCAGTCTGTCTACATCTCCAAAGCTCAAAATGCTCAGTTCCACCTTGTGATGTCATGAAGCAGTAGTTTTCAGGTTAACAGCAACCATTTTGTTCAGTAAAAATTGGCAATTACAGGTTTAAAATCATCCAAATGATTCTCGAGAAGGTGTGTGGAGTCTAAAAACACAGTGGTGCACTTTTTGTATTACCACATGACATCACAAAGTGGAAGAGGTTTGTGTGTTAAACTTATGTGAATGAAACAAAACACAACTCCAGGTCTGTTTGTGATGAGGAAACAACATTATAACAGATTAGAAAATAGTACATACAGGCCCTTTAACACATTGTGACGACTTAAATTAATCTTCACAATCACAAATGGGGGCTCGCCAAAACATAAAATCCTGGTTTAAAGTTAAGACACGGGTTAAAAGAGGTTAAAGTTTGGGTTTTGGTTACGGTTACGCAAGCAGTGACTATGGTTTGAATTAGGATCATTGTCCAGGAAATGAATGTCAGAGTAATGTCCCTAAAAAAACACGGAACCCAACTTGAAGTATTTCATCATTACGTTTTAAAATCATGATGTTTTTTTCAGATGACAGTGAGGATATGTTTGCTTGTGTTTTGTGTTTGCAGGCTGTGCGGGGGCTGCTGGAGACCCCTAATGAGCCCGTCAGTGAACTCTCCTACTTCGACTGCATCGAAAGCGTCATGGAGAACTCAAAGGTACAGACAGAATACTCACAAGCAACTGCACACGACCTGTCCAAACTGTCAAAAAAAAAAAAAGGACATTCGGAGGAGTGGAAGGAGAAGGAACAGGGAAAGAAAGAAAAGAAAGGAAGAAAAAGAATTATCATCAATTACAAGAATTATGTTTTCCTTTTTCTTAATTTTAACTTTTTGTTTTGTTTTCCCTCACACCCTTACCCTCTTACATCTTTTCTGTTTTACTGTTTGTACTGTTTCTAATATCACAATAGGAAAAAAAAAAAAGGTCAAATATAAGAATTTAATCATATTATAACGAGGAATGCACTGATAGGGTACTGGTGTAAATGAATATTGAAAATTTTGATGGACTGGATATCGGTTCCAAGATATCGGTTCGGGGCCACGTGAGAAACAGAAAATATTGTGGAGGACCACACTTAACTAAATTTTGCGTAATATGAATTGTATTTCTTTATAAAAAGCAGTAAATGACATTGTTTTGACGAGCTGGTCAGACTGGTAAGAGTTTATGTTATGACTAAGCAATGACAAAGTGAGTTTTCCTTATTTAAAAAATGGCATTTAAAAAAACTAAAATAAAAGCAATGCAGCCTTTGTCCACGCATGAGGTAAAATGATAGAATATGTTTATTTTGTAATTCCAAATGAGCTTAAACGGGCCGGTCAGAGTCAACCAAAGAGTGTGGTCCAGGAGCTAGACAATGCCCAGGTCTGGTTTAATGGAAAGTGTCCTTCATCAGGTAATGCTTAGAATATGACAAATCAAGCCGATAAACAACTAAGGAATATATGTCTTTATCAAATGAACTAAAATATCCTCCAAACTGGGAATTCTCTAATAGGGAACACGCTGGATATAAACACAAAACAGGCCTGAACAGGGAATAATTCAGAATCAAAATGCACAGGATTAGTTCAGATACAGAGCTGGAGAGCATCTCTTGACTGGTCAACAATCTAGCAAAGACTGAGTGGGTAAAAGAGTTCATCTGGACTACTCTGGGATGATTAGGAAAAGAGGGAGGAAGCAAAAGATGGACTGGATCAGGCTGGGAAATAGAGCTTAACTGGGGATAAACATGTAAACAAAAGGCCAAACTGTGACAGATCGCCCATTTTGCTGTTTTACCTGTCGTCACGTGTAAAAGTTGATTAACTCGTGGCTGTGAAACAAAAATCACTCTGCTTTGACGTGTATATAGCTTTGTATTTCTGGTATAAATACTCAGATGCCCAGGGGAGAGAGACTGGGAAAGACTTGCTTGAGATGCTTAATATCAAGATAGATATACAGTATAATTTCCAAACAGTGTAATAAAACAATTTACTGGTTGATTTTTGGCTCAAAAACTCCTAACATTGAACTTGCATTTTTTTCAAAGCTGTTCTGTAATAACTTAATATGATAAATACTCACATATAATTAGAAAAACATATTTGACTAATTGTTTACCATACACCCTAGGAAATATGTTATATTTTCAGTCTCTGCACTAGTATTGGTTAATATTAAAGGTAAAGATCCCTGACCTTGTAAAATATTATACACTGATCATTTTATTTAAAGCATTTAACAATTAGCTACCAAGTCATCTACAATGAAAAAAATAAAACACTGGTTTAACTTATAATTTATATAGAAATCATTTACATCTAAATATTGTTAATTGATCGTAATATTTATAAATTGGTCGAACTAAAACAGTTTAAATTATAACAGTTAATTATAAATTGGTTCAACAAGAAAACATCCATTACCTCAACAAAGTTAATTGAGTCAATTAAAAAACATTCATTAGCATTTATGTGCCAATTTAAATTCTACATTAAATGAATGAACATGTAATAGATTAATACAATCTATTTGAACTTTTATTTTATAGTGGTCCTATAATCTTAATAATTTCACAACACATTGAATTATTTTACTTTTTATTAACAGTGCATAAATGTGAACATCACTAAATACAGCGATATGCAAGTAGTTACATAGCAAACCAGCAACAACTTGTGACAACTGCCATTGTTTCCTCCACCACACTGCATTCTTGCTGTACCTGAAAAACATGAGTAGATTAGCACAAAATATAATTTTCAATGCTTATGATCAGTCTGCATCTGTATGCATTCTAAGAATTTGCAAAAAATACTTCATATTCTAAAATGTTATGTAATGATTTCAGATGGTGGGAAGTGACTTCTTAACTATATATAAAACAGATTTACTTTTGAGAGAAATCTCTTTTCTTATGATGCATAAATGTAAACTTCGTGCCAGTTCTTGGTTTCATGTGGCTAGATTGAATGACTATAGAGACTGAGACAACTGAAAATGTTGGGTTCACGTGACATCACAACATTCCACAATCCCTACAGTTTAACACTGAGCTGGAGGTCAGTGGAGAATTCTATGGTAGAATTTGCAGTATGATTTCTAATATTTTAAAATTTGCATCAACTAATATTTTGTTGTATAATTAATGCTATGTAGTATATTGGTAAAATATTCCCTACAATATAATGGACTATGCATTTTTTTCCCCAATAACAAGATCACTGCAAATCAATTTATTCACTAAAAGGACCAGTGTAAATGGCATTTACAATCAGAATAGGCTTCAAGGCAAGTTTTGCTTCATTCACATGTTTAACACAAAAAAGGGGCGTCAGTTACAGACAGCAAATTGGTGAGGAGTTTGATATTATAAGACATGACATGTATATTATATATACCATTATCATACCTGATTCTTATTTCATTAACAGGGTCTCCAAGGAAAATCATCAGCAATTTGAGCGCATATTGCCTTCATGTAGATAAATCCAGTGCAGCATTCAGTGAAGCCTGCAAACATAAGAACACTGTTATTTTTCTTAGTAATTCATACATTAAAACAGTAGGCTACTATATGATGTTAAGTTATAACTCCATGCAAATGAACCAGAGCGCACAGCTGATCCTCCTGTGGGCATACACGCACTTAAGTTTCACTTTTGTTTTCTTCGTGACCCCTCTTTACATTAAAGGCAGCGCACGAAGCACGTGCTCGTTGTTTTGATAAATAATTTTACGCATCTACTGCGCCGTTACCTGGACGGAGGAGGACCAAGGAGAACTTCACACGGACTCGTTTGGCTGGATGGATATATACACCACATTTGTGAAATGCGCTTTTACCAGGACCAACGAGTAGGAGGATTTTGGCGGAGTTTTAATTCATTACCAGTTTGGTTTCAACTTTCCGCGTCTGGCTGCATCTTTACGCAGACGCATGCTCCACACAGGAGTTTGGTTCATGTTATCTGTTTGGCTTCAATTTTGCGCGGACTTTACAAGACTGAATAGATGTGGATTTATTATTACGCACTTTGACTTTTAGGAACTGTAAAGGGCTGGATTTATTTTCGGGTGGATCCAAATTTCATGCGGTACGCTGTTTCTTCATCTCTTCTGTTTTACCGGTAAGATGACACACGGCGCTTTGTTGGACACATGTAGAACTATGTTAAGACATGAGTGCCGTTTGTGCCTTTGAGTTTGTTTAGGGCGCAGCCGTGACGCGCGAGCACCTTCGCTGCTGTGAAATCGCTGCAGTGTATTTATTGGCTTGTTGGCGCTCGCGTTTAAAGCCAAGGAAAATTGTCACCGAAAGAACGTTAGTTTTTCAATACCAGTGCCGGAGTTTCTGTACCCAGCCCTGGGAGCGGGCGAGGGGAGGGGCTGCGCGCAGCAGCGGAGAGCGAGCGCGTTAATTTATACGTGTATAGATCAACTAATTTAGTTTCATAAAGGGTACAATTCAGGGGCCCTTTCCAGTCTGGAGGAACGGAACACTCGCCGCTTTATCAGCCGCTGCCCGCTCGTTTGACCCCGGGACTTATACCTCCACCACACTGGGCTTAAAAGTTACACCTGGCCGTAGCGCGCAAAATGCGTAAATCTGGTGGTGACTCGCAATTTGACAAGTTTACAACAGTGTAAAATAAAGCTGGACCGGTTCACCTCACCAGCGTTGGCGATGTATTAATATTAGCCCAAAATGGCGGCCGCGCAAAACGACCCAATCTAAAATCCAACTAATCACTCGTCATAAGCAAACATCAGAGTAAAGATCGCGCATGCTGTCGAAATAAATACCCTATTTTTATCCTTCTGATGACCCAATCAATGAATTCAATATCTAGAAGACATAATTAAAATAAGCTAGTACTGTATTTTTTATCACCTCCAAGTAGCTTACTTTATGTGCCTCTTTACATACAAATGGGACACATATACTAAGTAAAACAAGACTAAATGTGTTTTTTGTATTTTTTATTACCTTTCGTCGTGGAGAAGCTTGGCAGTGGGATGGCGAGGTTGGTCAGTGGAATTTAATCCTCGATGGCGTCAAGGTCTATAGAGTTCGGTCACGTTTCTTGGGATGATCAGAGTCCAGAGCACATGGCGCACGTGTCATATTCTACTGTGTTATTGGGCAGAGTCAAGTGAGGCTGTTGTCAGTGCTGCCCCCTATGTTGGGTGGAGCGACTTGGCACAGCGCATGCGCAAGACATGCTCAATGAACAAACATTCATTGGATCAATTAACTATTGTAAATTACTGTTGATTTGCTTTAGCCAATTAGATGTACATAGAAAAAAATAAATACAAACACAAGCTTGAATGTGTATTGTTTAAATTGTACCGGCCAATTAGATTTTCTTTCTTTAAACCAATGGGAAAAAACATATTGAATGAACAACAGCAATGTTTCACTTTTTTCAGCGTACAAAGCTTATTCAAAATGAGAGAGACAACTCATAATTTAAGAGGGTATGGGAATTTCAAATTGTCAAATGTTTGTGCTACTCATAAAAGTTTCTGTGTGTCTGTATGTGGTGTAAAACTCTCGAACAGTCTGGATGCACATCTTAAGCAAAATATCCATAAATTCAAGTTGTTATATAAACATCTGGTCTGGTCACAGGATATAGAGAATGAGCCTTAATATTAGAACAATACTTCCTTGTGTAGTGCTGGTTTATGTTTGTTGCTTCCTGACTATTAATTACTACATCTTTAATTTCCTTACCATTGTAGGAATCCTTTTGTATTATTGCAATATAATGATAGCCAGGTAAATAGTTCATATAGTATAATGTAAATGTACGTCTGAAAAATGCAAAAGAAAGTTAATTATGTTAAATTAGAAGAGGGGGTGGGATTAAATAAGTTTTGTTCGTCCCACTCCTTTTTGGGTAAACAGCGTTCCCACAACATTTGCTTACTAATAATAATTAGTATTTTGATTGATTCATGTATTACATTTTACAATAAACAAAATGTCAAATATAAATGTAAAAAGCAATGTGGTGTAATAATAAATACCAAAAAATTTGCATAATATGTCTTCTATAAAGGTAACATTTTTTCTGATTGACTGTAGGTGTTAGGGGAGTCCATGGCTGGCATTTCTCAGCACTGTAAAACCGGAGACGTGGCGGCTTTTGGCGAGAGTGTGGGCGTGGCCTCCAAAGCTCTGTGTGGGCTCACTGAAGCTGCGGGACAGGTACTGCTTGTTCCCCCGTCTGTCTTTATTTGTATCCGTTTCTAAATATTTGGACCTGTCTGTGGATGCTCCAGGCCTCGTATCTGGTCGGAGTGTCGGATCCGAACAGCCAGTCTGGTCACGAGGGGCTGGTGGACCCGATTCAGTTTGCCCGGGCGCACCAGGCGATTCAGACCGCCTGCCAGAACCTAGTGGACCCCGCCAGCAGTCCTTCACAGGTAAAAACAAACCCACTGTTATTTAAAGTTCCTATATTATGCAAAATTGACTCTTGTGAGCTTTAAGTCGTGTTAGAATGTTGTTTCCTCATCAGAAACAGACCTGGAGTTGTGTTTTGTTTCATTCACACATGTTTAACACACAAATTCTGCATATTCAGGCTAAGTTCTTCTCTCAAACAGAAAACACTCACCACCACACCACCTTCTGATGTCATGTGGTAATACAGGAAGGGCTCCACAGTGTTTTTAAAGTTTATACACACATATAGCACATTTAAAATAACTTGAGCTGACCAAAGTGCTTCACATTAGGGCTGTCGCAATAACTGCAAAAATGGATCACCGTGGTACTAAGATGCCCACCGCGATCACCACATGTGACCAACGTGACCCGACCCAGAGTCCTGCACAGGTCAATTTTTAAAGACCCGCACCCGCCCGGACCAGTTAACATTCTACCTGTTACCGCCCGTACCTGTGATAACCCAGGACTAACCCAGGACTAGCCCAGCACTAACCCAGGACTAACCCAGGACTAACCCAGGACTAACCAGGACTAACCCAGGACTAACCCAGCACTAACCCAGGACTAACCCAGGACTAACCCAGCACTAACCCAGCACTAACCCAGGACTAACCCAGGACTAACCCAGCACTAACCCAGGACTAACCCAGGACTAACCCAGCACTAACCCAGCACTAACCCAGGACTAACCCAGGACTAACCCAGCACTAACCCAGCACTAACCCAGCACTAGCCCAGGACTAACCCAGGACTAACCCAGCACTAACCCAGGACTAACCCAGGACTAACCCAGCACTAACCCAGGACTAGCCCAGCACTAACCCAGGACTAGCCCAGCACTAACCCAGGACTAACCCAGCACTAACCCAGGACTAGCCCAGCACTAACCCAGGACTAACCCAGCACTAACCCAGACTAACCCAGCACTAACCCAGCACTAAACCCAGACTAACCCAGGACTAACCAGCACTAACCCAGCACTAACCCAGCCAGCACTAACCCAGGACTAACCCAGGACTAAGCCCAGACTAACCCAGGACTAACCAGCACTAACCCAGCACTAGCCCAGGACTAACCCAGACTAACCAGACTAACCCAGACTAACCACTAACCCAGGACTAACCCAGACTAACCCAGACTAACCCAGGACTAACCCAGGACTAACCCAGCACTAACCCAGCACTAACCCAGGACTAAGCCCAGGACTAACCCAGCACTAACCCAGGACTAACCCAGGACTAACCCAGCACTAACCCAGGACTAGCCCAGCACTAACCCAGGACTAGCCCAGCACTAACCCAGGACTAACCCAGCACTAACCCAGGACTAGCCCAGGACTAACCCAGGACTAACCCAGCACTAACCCAGGACTAACCCAGCACTAACCCAGCACTAGCCCAGGACTAACCCAGGACTAACCCAGCACTACCCACTAACCCCACCCAGCACTAACCCAGACTAACCCAGCACTAACCCAGGACTAGCCCAGCACTAACCCAGGACTAACCAGACTAACCCAGCACTAACCCAGCACTAACCCAGCACTAACCCAGGACTAACCCAGCACTAACCCAGGACTAGCCCAGCACTAACCCAGCACTAACCCAGCACTAACCCAGCACTAACCCAGGACTAACCCAGCACTAACCCAGGACTAGCCCAGCACTAACCCAGGACTAACCCAGCACTAACCCAGGACTAACCCAGGACTAAGGTATGCCCATGTAGACCATCAGGTGAGCACAGGCAAAAGGACCGCCATAGAGCTCCACACCGCACGAAGTTAAGTGTGGCCGTCACCCGATTGCGCTTTGTGGACACTCTGCTCTACAGGCTCGGGGTTCGCTCTCTCTTAAGTCCACGGGTACCTGACCTGGTACAGGACTCTGACCCGACTTGGTGCAGGACTCTGGCCCGACCTGGTGCAGGACTCTGGCCCGACCTGGTGCAGGACTCTGGCCCGACCTGGTGCAGGACTCTGACCCAACTCGGTGCAGAACTCTGACCCAACCCGGTGATGCAGTGACACTTATAAGGCCAAATGTTACTTCTCCCACACTGCACACGCTATATCCACACGACAACCAAGGCACATGTGCATCTGCGTAACAAGCACATCATCTGAGAGAATTTTCAGTGCCGCTGGAAATATTGTAACTCCGGGGGATGAGGGGTGGGGGCATTGAGCCGCTACACCGCACCGCAGGAGAAATTCCTTAACCGCGACAGCCCTACTTCACTTAAAAGTCAACAAAGCAGAAGAAACATGTGAAAACTACAATTAAAATACCAAGGTAACTTGAGTTCCTACTAAATGCCAGGGAGAAGAGGTGAGTTTTCAGTCTAGCTTAGTCTTCAGACTGAGAGGATCTGACAGGAAGAGGAAGGTTGTTCCACAGTCCAGGCGCTGCAGAAAAGCGTCTGTCACTTCTCGTCTTTATCCTAGTTTTGGGTACGACCAACAGGAACTGGTCTGATTTCAGGGTCTGGATGGAGGAGAGGGCTGCAGTAACTCCCTCAAATAGACTGGACCCACAGAGTGCAAACATTTGAAAACAATAACATTTTAAATTGCTCCCTATATAAGACAGGGACCCAGGTTGCATAGTGCAGCTTTTGTCAGCAGACGAGTGTTCTGGACGTGTTGTAAATGCTGCAGGAGCACTGGTCCAACACTACACACAAAGAATTGCAATAGTCCAGGCGCGATGTTACAAATGCATGGAACAAAAGGTAAAAGGTTGTTGTTGGAAACTTGGAAACAACAACTGCATGACATTGCAAAGTGAAACAGAGCACTTGGACTAGTACAAGCTGATAATGTACTTGTAGACAGACTGATAATAAAGAGTTACTCAACATGTGTGAATGAAACAAAACACAACTCCAGGTTTGTTTTTGAGGAGGAAACAGAGTCAGTTTTGTGTAATATAAAGGGTTTCCACGGTCATGGAAATCCTAGAAAAGTCATGAAAATTAAAAATGCAGTTTTCTAGGCCTCGAAAAATCATAGTATTTGGTCAATTCAATTAAAGTTTTGGAAAAGTCATTGAATTTTAGTATCTCTTTCATGCAACTATAGCGTTCTGTTAAGTTCTCATTAGACTATTATGATTATTTTCGAACATCTACGCCTTTTGTTTAAAAGAGACGACAATAAATGCACTGACAGGATTTTGAATGTTAAAAAACTATAATCCCAAACCATAAGGTGAAGTGGAAAGGAGTTAACATTTCATATTTAGCCCTAAAAGTTTGTAAAGTCATGGAAAATTCACTTTAGGTCATGGAAAAGTTTTGAAATGTTGTCAGTGAAAAAGAGTGGGAACCCTGGACTATAAAACCTTTACATGTCTGAAAATCTCTATGAAATGTTGAAGCTGTTGAAATATATAAAAAACAAATCTGTTCTAAAATGTATGACAAGTTAAATATTGTTGTTTTTCTTGTTAGGTTTTATCAGCGGCCACTATTGTAGCCAAACACACGTCTGCTCTCTGTAACGCCTGCCGTCTGGCCTCCTCTAAAACCTCCAACCCTGTGGCCAGGAGACAGTTTGTCCAATCAGCAAAGGAGGTGGCCAACACCACCGCCAACCTCGTCAAAACCATCAAGGTCAACTCTCCAACTGATCAAAACGTTGAGTGTAAACCTGTTACAAACTTTTCTCACATTCAGTTCAATCATAGGCCTGTCACGATAAGTACCACAGATACGTAAGTTTGGAGTGACATCACGCTGTGGGGGTGTTATACGTGAATCTCTAATGGTGGAATGTTTAGGTGTTGTGACAATGCACATGTGAGCAAATACTGTCAAAAAACTTTTAAGATTGTCTGAAAACTTAAGAAAAAACACAACATGGATTTAAACTGCACATTTCAGGAGCCGGTGATCAGTCCGACAAAAAAAAAAATCTAGAAGCTTTTTATTCACGCTTACCAGAAACATACAGATGAGGACTTCCGGTGGAGTTCCCGACACTGGGCATGTGATAAAACCGTGGATTCAGCAGCAGCGTCTTTACAACCTGACAAAGCTTTCCATGGGGGAATCAAATCTTCGATGTCACTCACAGGCAGCTGATTGGAACTGTTGATCTGCTGAATATAACTGAACACTACAACGGCATCTTTTTTTTTTTTTTTTTTAGAATTAGACAAATTACAATACACAAATTAACAGGCAATTTATAAAAGAAAAAAGAAAGAATACAGTGACATCTAGCTGAAGAAAACCGGGCCATTTTTTCAGATTTTGTGTAAGTTGTCATCAGTCAGGCTGGCGTCACCTAGTGCCTCCGCTCAATTTCATTTCTCTCCAGCGACTAGGTCAGGAATCAAAATACACTAGACGGTTTGGACGAATCCCGGAACACCGTGTACTGGCCAATCAGCGTAGAGCTGTGAAGCCATGACGTCAAACTCAAGCATCTGTCTGGGTCCCTTTTGTGGAACAGCGCAACAGTAATCAAAGCGTCGAGATGGATGTAGACGAAGACAGACATTCTGTGTTGGCAGCGATTCCCGAGATGGAGGATTTAAAGCCGGAACAAAGAGAATGTTTGGTGAATTTTATCAAGGGGAAAGACGTTATTGCCCTTCTTCCTACAGGATTTGGCATGTTACATACGTCACGACCAAATAGCAGCGATTTGTTAAATTAAAAAAGTACCCGCCTACCGTCAAGCGAACGAATCCTAATGCTGCGAGGTCAGACGGTTTCCACAAAATGAAACCATCAGATGGATCAGACTAGTTGTCATCTGCATGTTTTGCTTTTGTGACGTAAGCGTGAATAGAGCCTATTTTATGTGTGAGAGACTTGTTTAACAGCACAAATCCCCTCACCTGTTGTACTCACCTACTTGCAGCTAAATCAACTCTTTCTGGTCAGATTGTTTTTAAATTAAAGTTCAGATTAAAGTCTAAGAGAGCTTCAGACAGAGCAGAGCCTACAGTCATCGTCACACCCTCGGGGAACGTTTGACAACCTCAGCTGCAAAGTATCAATATCGACTTATCGTTCAATATATGAAAGCTGGAACATTATATTTTTAGGCTCAGTATTTGTCAGACTGAGCCTTTGCCACCGCCGCCCCCTCGCTCCCTTTGGAACTCACACAATCCACCAGGAACTCGGAATCACTGCGGCACTTCACTGCAAAAAAGCTTGGCCAAAATTTAGGATATAAACACTAAAATCCATCAGAAAATTACTTAAAACTAGTGAAATTATCTGTCCATGCAGCAAGATCATTTAAGTTTTCTTGAAATAAACGACCTCTAGACTAGAATTAAGCAGTTTCAGAACTAGTAAGTAGATAATAAATCTGAAAACAAGATGAATAAGCTGATATAAGTTTTAAAATCTTGGCCAGATCAGAGAAATTTACAGTCTCGAACTCACTACTAAAAACTCGCCTGTTCAATGTCGCTTCCTATTTGTTTGTAAAGTGCCTTAGAGTATCCAAAACAGTGCTATAATTCAGTATTTATTGGGAGATTTTTATTGCTTTAGTTGTAATATGAAAAGATTTGAGCTGTAGTTGAATAAGTCACTTTTATGGGTAATTATAGGTCCATTCTGCTGTTTATTTGTTGCAGCTCAGGCTTTTTAATGATACTGTCAATTTAAAAAGAGTGACCTGGGATTATCTTGCCTAATTTTATTCTTAATGAGTGGCATAAAGTAGTTTTAATATTATAATTTATCGCAATATTGGTCTGTAGTGATCAATTGTGGTTCAAAGTTTGTTATCGTGACAGGCCTATTCAAGTATAAAAGTTTAAGTGTGTGTAGAGTTGTGTTTTTCATAATTACATGATAAATTCTTTTGTTTCAGACTTTAGACGGAGATTTCTCGGATGAAAACAGAAACCGCTGCCGGACGGCCACAGCTCCTCTGCTCCAGGCCGTGGAAAACCTTTCCACTTTCGCAAACAACCCAGATTTTGCCAGCATCCCGGCGCAGATCAGCAACGAGGTACTTTTATCCGATACAAAAATAAGATTCTAATGCGTTAATTCTAATAATGTCAACTGCAAAAACTGTCATGTGTGAATTGTCAGATTTTCCACTATATATAGACCTCAATTAGGGCTGGGTAATATTTGAAAAAAATTAAGGACTCTTCGATCCGATACTGGTATTAGATATTGGTGCAAGGATGGAAAAATTTGCTGGATTGCATTTCTGCTTTGGTTCAGTCAAAATCCTGTTCAGAAATATACATCAATGTAATGAGATTATTTATTTATAAGTCTCATGATGTTTGACATTGTATCTATACAGAGTTCTTAAGCTGTTACCTGTGGGACAAGTCACAGCTACATAACACATTTGGGTCAATTTTGGTCTTATTTTATTTTTGTTTCAAGGAAATAAATGCTGTGTTCAGTCTCTGCACTGGTACTGGCAAATACTGGGTATCAGCAGATACTTAAATCCAAAGTATCGGTATCGGATCTGAAAAAGCTGGATCGGTGCATCTCTATCATCATATTCAGAGGTCACCAAACTTTTTTCTCTGGGGGTCACATTATCTCTAGACTGTGATTGGGGTCGGGGTCGGGTCGGTCGTAGAACAGAATTGTTTGACCCTGATGACACAGATTATATTCTTTGAAAATCACCAAACTTTCTTTACATATAAGACAAACTGCACGCTCCTGACACTGAACAACAAAATAATCGGTCGTCCACTGTTCTTTGAAAACTCGGCATTCTCTGTCAACTTTTCATACTTTAACACAAGACATTTTGCTGTTCTTAACTGCACTACAGAACTCTGCACATGCTCGACTGTCACTGTTTGATCTCAAGATTGTCAAGTGACAAAAAGTCGGTGGCAAATTTGGCGGCAAATGTAAATATATAATATAATAATTTTTATATAAATATATATACTTCATATAAATATCATTTTTTAATTGAAAAAAAAATCAACAAAATACAAGATGCAGATGTGTTATTATTTGCCAAAATATAATAAAAAAAAATAAAAATAGGCCATGACATCTTTTGAGGATTGCCTCATAGGGCCAGTTCATTTTTTGAACTAAAACAAATTTAATTTAATATCAATTTCTTGAACATAAGCATTTAATCATTGCTGTTTGACAAAAAAACAGCCACAAGTCTGAATTCTGATCCAACATTCTCGTGCTTATACACAGAGGATTTGCCATTGGCTTCTCGATTAAATTACCTAAGCAGATCGAAGGAAATACTCGCCTGGGATCCAGAATACACACTTTTTCAATACACACTTTTACATAGATGTGTGGCAGTAAATCTCATGACTGACAGGTAGATTAGCCAATCAGAGATACGCATCGGTCCATCTATAAAAAAAAAAATCACAGTGGATTGAAAAACATGATCTATTTCTGCAGAATCAATGAGCGAAGCACTAAATTCTGTTCATCTGAGGAGAGAGAAATGTGATTTTGTTTGATTGGACGATCCCGTTTGACCGACCCTGAGACAGAGGAAGTGGGAACCAGACTGATATTGATCTGTATAAAAAACATACAATCTTTCTGTATTTCTACGCAAAGAAATGACAGAATCTCTATAAAATGTGAATAACTGCACAGCCCTGACCTGTTTCTCCTCTGTTCTCAGGGCTCTGCAGCTCAGGAGCCCATCATCAGGTCGGCGCGCTGTATGTTGGACAGCTCTACGTTCCTTTTAGAGACTGCCCGGGCTCTCGTTCTGAACCCCAAAGACCCACCCACCTGGTCCATCCTCGCCGGACACTCGCGCACCGTGTCGGACTCCATCAAGAGCCTCATCACTGCCATTAGGTCCGGAGCATTCATCATACAACTCCTGGAATAAACTCCAACTTATAATGAAAATACAGCAATCAGTTACTCAAATGGTTTAAAAATAACACTAATGTACTGTACTTCTGTGCAGGGACAAGGCTCCAGGGCAGAGGGAGTGTGATTATTCTATCGACAGCATCAATAAGTGCATCAGAGACATAGAGCAGGCTTCACTCGCTGCTGTTGGACAGAGTTTACCCTGCAGAGAAGACATCTCCATGGAGGTATGACAAACCAGGCTTTTTTTTCTGTTGTGGCATGTTCTTAAAGTGGCACTGAACAAAATTTTTTTTCTTCTAAACTGTGTGTCTGGTAAGATCCACCGTTATTTGTGGTCTAAAACCATCAAATACTGTGGCCCCATCCACACTAGTACATATCCATCCATCCATCCATTTTCTTCCGCTTATCTGGGGCTGGGTCGCGGGGGCAGCAGCCTAAGCACTAGTACATATCTGAGTTGTTTTTGTTGTGGATACAGTTTTCGTCCACACTAATTTGATGGAAAACAACTCCAGAGACAGAATGATCTGGTGCCGCCAGCTCCCACGAATTCATCTGAGTACAGGTCTGATGTGGCACTGTGTGGATGCCCGAAAACGCTGATACGCTGACTGTGATTTGCGCCTTCCTGATTCGCCGGGTTCGTGACATCGGTCATGTGATGCTATAGAGGCTTTGCACCGTCACGTGTCCATCATGGTAACAATAACTACGCCGCTATGACACCGGGCACACTATGCCGTTGGCTTCAGTAGCATCGGAGAAACATGGGCAGGTTTTGTTGTGTATTTGGTTGTTCTAGACGCCCTGAAAAGGATAAAAAGAATTGTTTCTTCACTGTTCCTCTGGATATTACTCATGAGGGAGCTCAAACAAGGGAATTAACAGAAAAAAAGACGGGAATTATGGCTAGAGAACATAAACTGCGAAGAGATTTCCTATGGTACCATCAAGACACACTCATGTCACTTTCATCAAGGTATTTGCTATTTAAATTGTTTCATAGATTATTTAATGAGAGAAGCACATTTACTGAACTAAAATTTAAAAAGAAAATATTTGCAGTGTGAGTGGCAGTAGAAACTGTATCTTCCAACGCACATATAAACATGTCACTCGTCGTAGGACCCATGTTTTCTTTATTGCCTTGCTTATCCACAACTATGTCTTCTAGAATTAATCGCTTTTTGTGAGCGGATCTTTCTAACGTTCACGAGGATCTTTTCATGGCCGATTCTTTCGGGGTTCGGCTCACAGACTCTTCGACTCGTGCGCCATGTTGATCATAGGAGCCCAGTGTGGGTTCTTGAATCGTAAACTAGTACAGGTTTTCCTGGATAAATTAATGAAATTTTACTTCAGTAAATGTGCTTTTTTCATTAAATAAGCTATGAAACAATTTAAATAGCAAATACCTTGATGAAACTTTGGGTGTCTTGATGATACCATTGGAAAACCCCTGCCCATGTTCCTCTGATGCTGCTGAAGTCAATGACATAGCGTGCCCGGTGTCATGGCGGCGTAGGTACCGTTGCCATGGGGGACATGTAACGGTGCAAAACCTCTCTTGTGGAAAACAGTTTAAACAAACTATAGACAAATGGGAAACGGCGGAGCTACTTGCAAGTACACGGTCCATGAAAAGATTGTTTTTACGCTTGCCATCTTCCGCAGCTCGAAATCAGCTGCTGCAACTTACTAGCGTTTCAGGCGGTTTCGCGTTAAAGGGCGAAGTATAGTTCTATAGGTCTATGCGTATGATCTGCAGAGAAGAAAAAAAAGTTTAGCATGAACCGTCTCCAACGAGAAGCACAGAACAGACTCACCATCAGCAGAACATCCCTCTGTCACAAAAAGAACACTCATATTCCACTGAGTCCTGTCCTTTAGTCCAACAGAAGCTGAACTGTATCAGTGCACAATATCGCACTGTTTTTTTGAGCACTTGGTTTATGCAAATTAGCCATGTGGTGTAAAGTTTCATTTCTGTAAAACGTAAACAAATATGCCCAAAGTTGTGTGGATAGGGAAGGATTCTAGACACAGAAATTACGTGTCTGGACGCAAATCGTTTCCGATACGGTGATTTGTTTCAGTGTCTTCATGCCTCTCCTCAAACTTTACAGCACTTTTATCGGTCACAGAGCAGAGGGATGCCCAGTACTCACCACACAAGTCCAAAATACATGTGTTCTCAAATTGTGCACATAGAAAATACTGGAAGCGAAATTTTAGCGACACGTCAAAGCGTTTCATTTTGCACTGGCTTTAATTTTCTATGTGAGCCTTTTTAAACAGCACAAATCATCTCCCCTGTTGTAGTTCCCCCTCATTCTGTTCTTTCTGGTCAAAATGTGTTTAAATAAAGATTAAAAAATAAATATCAATAGCTCATTTGGACCGTGGGGGCAGTTTAGGTGTTTATTCTCACTTTTAGATTTAGTTTGTTTCGTTATTTCGAGCCAAACTGAAAGTGGTACAGAGTTTAATTTGATCTGTACTATTTGAGTCTAACACTGACTCATACAAATGAAGACTGATGCTCGAAATGGAGTGGGAAGAAGGAAGACTTATTTTTAACCCACTCCAGTGACAGAAAAAAACACAAGAAAATAAAGAAAAGCTGCTTCCTTGTTCACAGTCAATACCTCAGCAATACAATATAATATAGATATACAATATACTCAGTTGCTATATAATAATGTACATGTAACCACACACTGTTACCATTTACACACACACATTACGACAGACAACAACAGTTATTTTTAAATATCAACAATGGTAATCTGAAAATAGCACAAGGGTAAATAACATCAATGCCTCCTGTTCACACATGAATGCAGTTAAACTTGAATAAACATGAGTATTTATTAAAATTCTCACTCTCCAGGGGTCTCCAACTTGGAGCTCAGGAGCTAACAGTATCTCTCCACCAGCTCTCATCCCTCCAAGGGATGTCTGAAGTTTACATATTGTGCTGTATAACTCAGATTTGATTAATTAAATGCCTTTTACCGTTGTGCATGTATAATCCATCCATCCATTTTCTTCCGCTTATCCGAGGCTGGGTCGCAGGGCCAGCAGTGTAAGCAGAGACTCCGAGACGTCCTTCACCCCTGACACTTCCTCCAGCTCCTTTAGCGGGACCCCAAGGCATTCCCAGGCCAGCCCAGAGACATAGTGCCTCCAGCATGTCCTGGGTTTTCCCCGGAAAACCTCCCCAGGGAGACGTCCTGGAGGCATCAGGAACAGATGCCGGAGCCACCTCAACTGGCTCCTCTTGACGTGAAGGAGCAGCGGCTCTACTCTGAGCTGCTCTCGTATGACTGAGCTCCTCACCCTATCTCTAAGGGAGCGCCCAGCCATCCTGCAGAGAAAACTCATTTTGGCCGCCTGTATCCATGACCTCGTTCCTTTCGGTCATTACCTAGAGCTCATGACCATAGGTGAGGGGAGGAACGTAGATTGACAGTAAATCGAGATCTTTGCCTTTCAGCTCAGCTCTCTCTTCACCACAATGGTTCTTGTTCACAAAAACCCAATCAATTTAGTCATCAAATCTTGATGAGTAAACTGTTGCACTAATAGCCCTTCAAGGCTGAGTAAGTGCAATATGCAGGACCTTCCTAGGAACCTTTGGCAAGCACTTGTTTCTATTTGTTGCAAATTTGTAGTATACCCAAATTTCTATTTCTTTTTGTTGTTGTTGTTGTTGTTATAGTCAAAATAATAATCTCAACTTAATTTACCATCTACTTAAAGGCAAAAACAAGCACAAAACATTTTTATATACATATATATGTACGGGGATAAACAGACAATGGTTTATCTTTCATAATAAAAATAATATTAATACATGGGTTTTATAAAGCACTTTTCACTGTAACACAAAGACGCTTCACAATAAAGTAACACTGACACAAGGACAGGAGATACAAACACAGTAATGTTTGTGTGGGGGCTGTAGGCTCTGAGGAAAAGGTGAGTTTTGAGCAGTTTTTTGAAGGTGTTTAGTGAGTCTGAGTTTCTGATGTGAAGGAGGAGAGAGCATAAACATCTAACAGCCCCCTCATCTACGACTGTGGCTTTTATATACTGTTTACTTAATACGCAATGAGGAGCTCGCTTGGCATTTTTGTTTTGTAAAAGTTGCTCATCAGAGGAAAAAGGTTGGAGACTCCTGCTCTCTACTGTGACCAGACATTTTGTTTATAGAGTGATCTGAAGCAGTAAATACTAGCCCCAGTAAATACGAGTTCACAGTGACTTTAAAGATCTCCCTCTGATCTTCCTGTCCAGGCTCTCCAGGAGCAGCTGACCTCTTCAGTCCAGGAGATCGGACATCTGATCGACCCAGTGGCCACAGCGGCGCGAGGAGAGGCGGCCCAGCTCGGACACAAGGTTGAGCTCAGAGTTTTTAATACTCGTTCATTCTCGTGCACTTTTCAATTCTTTCCTCGTACTGACTCTTCTGAATACTTGTCCCAGGTGACCCAGCTGGCCAGTTACTTCGAGCCGCTCATCGTTGCGTCCGTGGGTCTGGCCTCCAAACTGCAGGACCACCAGCAGCAGATGACCATCCTGGACCAGACCAAGACTTTATCAGAGTCCGCTCTTCAGATGCTCTACGCAGCCAAAGAAGGAGGAGGAAACCCAAAGGTACTGAGACCTGGAACACACTTTTAAAGCTCTCATGTTACACTGTTATCTGATTTATGTTATAATGCTGTTTCCTCATCACAAACAGAACTGGAGTTTTGTTTTGCAGATAACGCTCTGTTCCACCTTGTGATGTCATGTGGTAATACAGGAAGTGCTCCACTGTTTTTAAACTCCTTACTAAGGCTGTGCACTTAATCGAATTTTGATTGTGATTTCGATTTGTGTGTCAAAAACGATCTCCAAACTCATAGAATCGAGTTGAAACGATTTAAAGCTTAAAAAAGTTTATTTTAAGATATTTTTTCATATAAATAAGTGTATTTATTTTATTTCTTAAATATAGAGATTGTAGACAGAGGCTGTGCTACCATTAGGCAAAAGTAGGCAGCTGCTTAGGGTCCCCAAACCTGGAGGGGCCCCCAACCAATTGCCCTCAGTGCCACTAATGGTCGAGGCCTCAGAGCAATTTGATTTTCTCTCAATATGACAATAAATGACAGTAGTTTACTTTTAAACAATAATCATAAGAAAAATAATAACCATCAGATGTAATGGCTGTAAACAAAAATGTAATTGTAGTGGCAAAAATATAAAACTACTTTCAGCTCTAGTAGGCGCCTGAACAAATAAGACAAGTTTCCAATCCACCATAATTAAAATAAATAGAGATGTGCATGTCTCAAGAATAATGGGGAAAAACAGACAATAAATATATTTAAAAGACAAAACAAAATGGTGCATTATAGTGAGGACCCCAAACTTAAGTTCGCCTAGGGCCCCCAAATTGCTCACTCTGCCACTGATTGCAGCAGGATAAGTTTATTTTGTGGATACATTTATGTTTTTCTGCCTTATTTCATGTTCAATGTATATTTTATTCATTTTAGTTTTATACATTGCAAAACTGCTCTAAGGTTTATATTTGTAGCCTGAATTTATTTTCAGTTTGAAAGTTTTGTGTAAATTATCAATAACAAAGTGCTGTTTTTGACAGAGAAATGCTGAATAAATGCATAGTGTAATTAAAAAATAATCATCTGAATAATCGTGATAATGATTTTTTTCCATAAACGAGCAGCCCAGATACACATACACCTTCACTTGAATCATTTGAATAATTTCAGCAGTGGATTTGCCAATCTCTACTAAACAAAAAGTAAAACGTAACTGTTAACTTGAGAACTACCTTTTCATGACATCACAAGGTGGAACAGAGCATTTAGAGCTTTGGAGATGTACACAGACTAAAAATGCAGAAATAAAACACAACTCCAGGTCTGTTTTTGATGAGGAAACAGCTTTATAACATGACTTAAAAAATCCGCGTATCATTCGTTCATTCATTTTTCAAAATAAAAACAAAAATAAGAAAATGAAAAAACAACGATTTTCTTCATTATTTGTCTCCAAAACCAAAATGAAAAAAAAAAAACGGATAATGATTAGTTTTTTCAGTTTTCGATTTTGTGTTTAAGTGAAAAATGGAAAAAACAGGATAACCGCCATTTCCCTTTTACGTGACTCCCGTGCCGAACTTTTGCTCTGCATACGGACGGAACCAGGACTGATCCAGGTCCGGGACCACACCGGGACCAGACCAGAACCAGAGCGGGACTGAGACCGGGACCAGACCAAGACCAGATAGAGACCATACCGGGACCAGACCGAGACTGAGACCAGACTGGGCCAGAGCAGGACTGAGGCCGGGACTAGACCGGGACCAGACCGGGACCAGACCGGAGGCTCAGAGCCCACGGCAGGACCGGAGCTCGAAGCTGAGGCTCGGACCCCGCAGAGGCTCGGAGTCAAAGCTCAGAGTCCACTCTGGTCCCAGTCTGGTCCCAGTCTGGTCCCGGTCTGGTCCCGGTCTAGTCCCGGCCTCAGTCCTGTGGCCCAGTCCAGTCTCGGTCTGGTCCCGGTATGGTCTCAGTCTTTTTTCATGTCATTTTAATTTTTCACTTAAACACAAAATCGAAAACTGAAAAAACGAATTGTTATCTGTTTCTTTCATTTTGGTTTAGGAGACAAATAATGAAGAAAACAGTTATTTTTTCGTTTTCATATTTTTGGTTTTATATTGAGAAGTGAATGAACAAATGATACACGGATTCTTAAAGCTCACAAGACTCAATTTTGTATAATATCGTCCTGTTAAATAATATTTTCTATTCAAGATGAGGTATATAAATAGTGTGTATTGTTGAAATGTGCCTTAATGATCCACTTCAGGCCTGTCACACACATGATGCCATCTCAGAGGCGGCTCAGCTCATGAAGGAGGCTGTGGACGACATCATGGTGACGCTGAATGAAGCGGCCAGTGAGGGGGGCATGGTCGGGGGCATGGTGGAGGCCATCGCAGAGTCTATGGGCAGAGTGAGTAACGTTTGTCATCAAGATTATAAAAAAATATTAGCAGTTCAGAGATTTGCTGAGGTAAATTCATAATCAGTTTTTGTAGTTTGCAGTGTTTGTGAAGTGTTTGATTAAGAAATGCAGGTCCAAGTAGTAGTAGTAGTAGTAGTAGTTGTAACTGTAGTAGTAGTAGTTGTTGTTGTTGTTGTAGTAGTTGTAGTAGTAGTAGTAGCAGTTGTGGTGGTGGTAGTAGTAGTAGTTGTAGTAGCTGTAGTAGTAGTAGTTGTAGTAGCTGTAGTAGTAGTTGTAGTAGCAGTAGCAGTTGTTGTAGTAGTAGTAGTTGTAATAGTTGTAGTAGTAGTAGTTGTAGTAGTAGTAGTACTAACACATGAACTTAAATATGTATAATTTTACCAGTTTTCTTTAAAATAATTATTTTTATACAACTTAAATGACTAGTTATAAGACATAAATGTAATATTTATTAATTTACTTAGAATTTTAATTAATAGTTTTATCTGCAAAATAAAATACACTTTTTTAAATTAGTGCTACTTTAACTTAACGAATACCATTTGCCATGAATCAGATTATATTTAAACAATCAAATTCCAGTTAGCAATCAAATAATTCAATGATTCAGTTTAGCTTTATTTAACATTTTAAGAACTTAAATTGAATTTATTTATTAATCTACTTTAACTTAAATTGGGGCATTTCATAAAATAAATCAGCCAATTGCATTTAAATCTAACTAAGGCTTCTCATTGTATTTACTTAAATTGAACAGAATATTTATTTTACATATAAATTAAGACAGATTATTTTCACATGGATTTTAACACAATTTTACTGGTTTAACTAAACTTAAAAACTAATTTAGCAGGTAAATTTCCTCACCGGTGTCTCTGTGTTTTCTCCTCACGTTCCTGGTTTGGTTTGTGTCTGTTCACCTGAGCCTGAGTACAGAGACACCGGCTCACCTGTATTTTCTGCTGCCATCTACTGGCCAGACTAAGAATAACGTAATAAACTAATAAAAAAGGGGAGGAGAGGAGAGATGAATGAGCTCAGGAGTGGAGGTGAAGACCAGGAGCAGAGGGGCTGGGCTTTTTGACTTGACAGTGTTCAGTCTTGCATTTTGTTTGCAGCTGGATGAAGGAACCCCACCTGAAGCAGAAGGTTCTTTCGTGGACTATCAGACCACCATGGTGAAGTTCTCCAAAGCCATCGCCATCACAGCTCAGGAAATGGTGAGCTCATCTCTTCTGTTTTTGCAGAGTTTCTGATCCATGTCGATGTTACGAGCAATTCTCAGAGTGCCCTTCTGAATAAAGTTATGTTCAAATGACTAAACTACTGAATAATTAATTCCACAAAAAATAAAAATAGAGATTCAGAAATGTTTTTCATGGTTTCATAGCTCCATTATGTTTTAGTGGCCAGGGACTAGAGGGAGCTGTAATCTTTATATTGAGAGCTTGGATTGTGTATTGATCAAAAGCTTGCATTCAGTATTCAGTATTCACTATTGCTTATACATGAAGTAACTCTCTTGCCTCTTTTTGCTGTGACAAGAATATCATGACTATATTTGTGTTTTTCAGATGACTAAGTCGGTGACGTGTCCAGAGGAGCTGGGGGGCCTGGCCTCTCAGGTGACTGTGGATTATGGACAGTTAGCTCTGCAGAGCCGCCTCGCTGCAGCCACCGCAGAGATCGAGGAGGTGAGAGTCTGGGTCCAGAACTTTTGATACAAGTGAAAAGATTATTTATTTATGGTATGATTACAACGTCTGTCCTTTTTCCAAAACACTCAAGATCAGGGGTGTCCACATTCTTTAAATCCAGGGCTGCATATCAATACAGAAGACCGAGCAAGAGACATAGACTGATCTCAGTTTAGTAAACAATTATAATGTGAGTTTATAACAGGTTAGAATGAGACTGCAGAGCTTTATTGATGCTGACACTCTAAATATTTGATTTGGCTTCATCAAGGCAGATTTAAAAAACATCCATCAATTTTCTTCTGCTTATTTGGGGCCTGGTCACGGGGGCGTCAGTCTAAGTAGGGACTCCCAGACTTCCTTCACCCCAGACACTTCCTCCAGCTCCTCCAGCGGGACCCCAAGGCGTTCCAGGCCCAGCCCAGAGACAGAGTCCCTCCAGCGTGTCCTGGGTCTTCCCCAGTGCCTCCTTCCGGTGGAAAATACCCGGAACATCTCCCCAGGGAGGCGTCCAGGAGGCATCCCGAACTGATGCTCGAGCCACCTCAACTGGCTCCTCTCGACGTGGAGGAGCAGTGGCTCTACTCCGAGCTCCTCCCGTGTGACTGAGCTCCTCACCCTATCTCTAAGGGAGCGTCCAGCCACCCTGCGGAGGAAACTCATTTCAACCGCTTGTATCCGTGATCTTATTCTTCCAGTTATTAGATTAAAAAAGAACAGTACAACAGTTTCTTTTTTTTTTTTTACTATTTGCACAGTAAAAAAGTACTACTTAAGGGGCCTGGTTAAGCAGAAGTAAACAGCAAGGCCAAAAATTCAAGTTAATGCATCTGATATAAAAATGTATTAAACAGATACATATGTACTCTAGTTTATGAACTGTTGACCTTTTTTCTGTACCATTTTTGGTTCTAAAGTTACATACGTTTTAAACAGACCATGTATGAAACATGGAACAAAAATTATTTCCCAAAGTTCAAAGACCTGCAAATCACGTAAATAAACTGATGTATTTCATCATATCTTGTGTTATTCCATCTTTGAACTGTTGATGAAGGTACATGATTTTAAAAAAAAAAAAGTTTTTATTTAAAATAATAAAAATTTGCTTGGAAGGACTGATATATTTTATAGAAATAGTTTCCTTTCATTTTGAAGTAATATTAAAGTTTTCAGAAGAAAAAAGCGACAAATTATGTAAAATCCTGCACCTTCTACTTGTTTGCACAATTTTCCCTCCGTTACTTTTCCCTCCGTTACCATGACCTTTCTTAATAAAAAATCTCATGATTCAAAAAGTCAGAGGTTTTTCAACCTAATCTTGTACCATATGGTAGAAAACTATATGAAGCAAATATTCAAACCAGTTTGTTAAGGATATGTAAGTGAGAACCGCTAGTTTCTCACAGTTTCACTGTTTGTATTTATTGCCCAAAAAGTGCTGCATATTTCATTCCCTCCGTTACCGACATGAGTTTTTAAATTTTTTGTCAACAACTTGAAAGAATATCACAGGTTTAACTTGACCCTGTTGGAGTGTAACTCTTTCCTACATTCTGATCCTTTACTTATTTCAATAGTCCCTCTAGTTTCTCAATAAGAGACATTTGAATGTCAAAAATCTGCCCCTGTTTCCCTCCGTTACTGCTTGTCCCCTGGGTTCCTCATCGTTTGGACATGTCTGCTCGAGATGAAATAAAATCTAAGATGACATTCTATGACGTAATAAGTGCAAACGTCGTCTGACTCATATTGGCGAGTTTCAGACACAACGTTACTTAATACAGATGATGGCAGTTCAAATAAATACTGATAAAATACAGATTTGTGGTGTAATACAGTGAGTTCTTGGATCTGACCACTAATAGAAATGTTCAGGTTCAACATTTGTGAATTTACCTTTTGGATATTTCATGGCAAAGTACAACGTAATCAATAGAAAACATCGGTCTCTTGTCCCTTATCCCATCTGGGAGTACGACATCATCACATTTTATTCCGTCTCTCAGGTGGGGCTGCAGATCCGGAGTCGTGTCCAGGAGCTTGGTCACGGCTGTATTTACCTGGTGCAGAAGGCCGGAGCGCTGCAGCTGAGCCCCACGGACACCTTCTCCAAACGGGAGCTGATCGAGTGTGCGCGAGCCGTCACAGAGAAGGTCAGAGGAAACAAAAGTCCTATTTTACTCTTTTTATTCATCTGTGGACAAGCATCAAAACTATAATATAAAAGTATAATGTAGTTACTAAAGAAGTGGCCAGTGCACTCTTTGGGGCAGATGGGACAAATTGGTAAGGAATTGAATTTAGCCTCTCTCTTTTCTTTCTTTTCTTTCTTTTATTTCAACGGTTGGTGCTTTAGAAAATATATTTTGAAGCTGATTTATGTAGGGAGTGTCTTTTTTATCTTTCACCCTTTACAAAGATGAGCAAAGATTAGGAATGGTACAAGATCTCGTACTACAAGACACAAAATTGCCACAAGATCGTGCACACAAGAGAAAAAGGATGTTTTGAGATTTTTTTTTTCCACGTGTTTGCATTTAGCCTGGACAAAAAAGGGATACGGGTTGGTGAGTTACATCTCTCAAAACCCGTTCAGACCAGAGCATCAAGGTGTCCGGTTTATATGCAAAGTCTATGTGGACGCGCATTTAGGGCGTCCTGCGTTTTTGAAGCATGTCTTCGCGTGTCAGCACGAAGAGAATCTGGCATTTACGTGTTGCATCTTGAGCGTCAACGAATCAAGGTCGACTATTCAGTGACGGAGCAACGTTATTATCTGGAAGAAGAAAGAGAAAGACCCGGGAACCAGGGCGTGGAGCTACAAACATTAGTGGAGTATAAATATATACACACCACAACCCCCGAGCTGATCAGGACTGAACCAGGACTGAACCAGGACTGAACCAGGACTAAACCAGGACTAAACCAGGACTAAACCAGGTCTAAACCAGGACTAAACCAGGACTAAACCAGGACTAACCAGAACCAGGACTGGACCAGGACTACACCAGGACTGGACCAGGACTACACCAGGACTGGACCAGGACTACACCAGGACTGGACCAGGACTACACCAGGACTGGACCAGGACTAAACCAGAACTGGACCAGGACTAAACCAGGACTAAATCAGGACTGGACCAGGATTTAAGAAGGATTAAACCATTGTCATTAGCGGATTATAAATATATACACACCGCAGCCACACAGCCAATCGCCAGGACTAAACCAGAACTGGACCAGCACTAAACCAGGCCTAAACCAGGACTGAACCAGGACTAAACCAGGACTAAACCAGGCCTAAACCAGGACTGGACCAGGACTAAACCAGACCTAAACCAGGACTAAACAGGCCTAAACCAGGACTGGACCAGGATTAAACCAGGACTAAACCAGGGCTGGACCAGCACTAAACCAGGCCTAAACCCGGACTGAACCAGGACTAACCCAGGCTTTAACCAGGACTAAACCAGGACTGGACCAGGATTAAACCAGGACTAAACCAGGACTAAACCAGGACTGGACCAGGACTAAACCAGGTCTAAACCAGGACTAAACCAGGACTAAATCAGGACTGGACCAGGATTAAACCCGGACTGAACCAGGACTAAACCAGGACTGGACCAGGACTAAACCCGGACTGAACCAGGACTAAACCAGGACTGGACCAGCATTAAACCCGGACTGAACCAGGACTAAACCAGGCTTAAACCAGGCCTAAACCAGGACTGGACCAGGACTAAACCAGGACTAAACCAGGCCTAAACCAGGACTGGACCAGGATAAAATCAGGAATGACCCAGTGTTATTAAGGAGTATAAATATATTCACGCTGCAGCCGCTGATCTCCTCCGCTCGGGGATTTATGTAATAAATTCACTAAAGTCTCTCTCCGCCTGGTCTGCCATCGTTCCGGGAAAAGACCAGGACCAGGCATTTGTTTTCGGGACAACGGACACCCTGGACACGCCTCAAGTGTTTTTCTCCCGTTCATCCACAACATCCAAGACGTGCATTGTGGGTGTCTAAACTCCAATACAAAGGTGTCCAACTACGGGCGTCCAGGGCGTTTTTTGACACCGCAGTCTCAATGCAGCATAACAGTTCCAAAAAGCAGCACTAGAACATAAACAAAACTATGAAATGAAATAAATAACAAAACTGTGAGGCCAAAATTGGAAACTGAACCGTGAAATGTACATATTAGGAATTATGTTAAAATCTCATCTAGTCTCGTTCTCGTGGACCCAATCTCGTATCTCGGCTCGTGGAAATTTTGTCTCGTCCCGTCCCTAGGAAAGACTATAACAATGTGAACGCCAAAATAACAAAAATGCACACTTCCTGTCTTATGTTGGTTTAACTTTTGACTTTGAAAATCTCCCCTGTGCAGCTCTGTGTAACCGTGTTGTGTAACCGTGTCCCTGTGTGCGGCAGGTGTCTCTGGTCCTGTCGGCCCTGCAGGCGGGGAACAGGGGCACTCAGGCCTGTATCACCGCAGCCAGCGCCGTCTCCGCCATCATCGCAGACCTGGACACCACCATCATGTTCGCCTCGGCCGGGACCCTCCACCCAGACAACGAGGAGACCTTCGCTGATCACAGGTTTGTATCACACATCACAGATCCTTTGATTTTGGTTGGATTTTAATTTTTTTTTTCAGTGGAATGAGTTTACTGTTTGGTGAAAATAATGGCAGATTGGCTGATGTCAAAACTTGGGGGAATAGTTGATTGCCAATGAGGTAAAGATGAAAATATTGGGAAAAAAGTGAGAAAAACCTTTTTTTTTTTTTTGCATTAAATTGAACCATAATCATGTAGAAATGTGTTTTAAGAATTATTTTTTACTGAATGTTGTCACCACATGTGTTCTTTGCGTCTGGAATGCATTTATTGACAGCTTACCCAACCCACTGAGGATTTCAGGAAATTTTTCATTTTTCAAAATTTTCTATCAAAAAATGAAGGTTGCATAAATGGCCACACTTTTTTTTTTCGCAATATTTCCAGCAGTTATTGGTCTTTAGGGTCAGCAGTTAACAAAAAAAAAAACACCACAAATTATAAGTATGGCAGATGATGTCAGGTTCAACCCATTTTCTTGAGCTTTTGAGAGTTTGGCTCCCCGACTATAGGCCATATTTTTTAACAACTGGCTCTGTTCACGTTTACCGGGAGACGTTGGAAACATGCCGATGACGACTTCCAGTGTAGTTCCCGACACTGGGCATGTGATAAAACCGTGAATTCAGCAGCAGCATCTTCACAACCAAAACAAAAGAGGGACGGGATTCTAATCATGTCTTTGACTTTTTAATTAAGTTAGAGAAATTATAATTCAAAAATTAATCAGCAATTTATAAAAGGAGAAAAGGAAAGAGCATAATTACATCTAGATGAAGTTACTAGTTTAGATCTGCTCTTGTTTTTTTTGTGTCCGTGGCATAAATTAGTTTCAATATTATATATGAATCATCTATATTTACTATTATAGACAATATTATTATTTATTTCTCTATATTTACAGCAAAATGTGTCATAAAGAAAAAAGTTACATAACTAATAATATTTTTCAACAAAACAAAAGGTAGCTTGTTTCAGGATTTGAATATAAAAAATTTTATTTAGAGTTATTTAAAGGTGCACTATGTAACTTTTTAGTTGGGAGTCTGTCAACTGCTTATTTGTATGTTATTGCTCTGCCTGGAATGTTCCACAGTATGACATTAAACAGCTCTACCTTACATTTTTTCAATTACAGGTGGTTTATAACTCAAAAATCCCTCGAAAAACAGACATTCTGACACTGAGCGGGGTCTCCTCTCCACAGATCTGACCTGTTACTTACTCTGGTTTGGTCTCCATGTAGATAAAAAGGTTTAATGCCATACTGTGAAACATTCCAGACAAAGCAATAACATGTCCATGGAGAAAAACATCTGACGGACCCTCCACCAGAAAAGTTACACAAAGCACTTTTAACTAGGCCTGTCACAGTAAGATGATTTAAAGCACAATATATCGCTACAGACAAAAATGTAATCTAATTTATGTCACTGATTAAGATTTAAACAAAGCAAGATAATAAAAAAGGCCTGAGCTGCAACAAATAAACAACAGAATGAACCAATAATTAGTCATAAAAGTGACTTATTCAGCACTCTACAGCTTAAATCTTATTGTATTACAACTAAAACAGCAAAAATCTCCACAATTTACAAAGAAAATGTACCCAGGATGAATATATATACTGTATATTAGGGATACTATGGATATCAACCGAAACCAGTGCTGTTCTAAAAATAAAATAAGAAAAAATAGCTCCAAATGTGTAAAAAAAATAACAGCTACATAACAGTTTTGTGTAAATAAAAGTTCAAATATTCTGGGACATTCTGGGCAGAGTACGACCAATAAATTGTCTTATTATATAAATGTTTATGTCAAACCAGAATATCGACTGAACTGATATTTGGAAACCGAAATTTTTCAGTATTGTTTGAAATTTGAATATTGAAATTGATATTGTAATTATTGTAAAAGGCCTAGCAGTATTTTTGAGTCTTTGTTGCTTTAGATAAATCATATTAAGTTCAACTACGCTCTCTTTTCTGTCACAGTCTCAGTCTTGACCAGAAAGCTGATATTATTATTTCTTCTTTTCCACAGAGAGAGCATCCTGAAGACGGCCAAAGCTCTGGTGGAGGACACTAAACTCCTGGTGGCTGGAGCTGCTTCCACTCAGGACAAACTGGCCCAGGCCGCTCAGTCCTCTGCGAAGACCATCACACAGCTCACAGAGGTGGTGAAGCTGGGGGCCACCAGCATGGGCTCCGAGGGGCCAGAGACACAGGTCAGGATCCGATCTGTGGACATGAATATATGTTCATGTAATCCCTCATTCGTCCAGTAGTGGGCAGTAGTGGAAAAGAATTGTTAGTTCTTGCAGTATTTTTCTGGATAAAGGTGTGGTCTTTTGCTGATTCATGTACATTTATTTTATTTATTTATTTTTTATTAAGGTGGATTTGAGATTTTAGTGTCATAAAATCATTTTCATATCACCAGTGGATGTGATGGTTGACTGACTGTGACCCCGTCTTTGTATCTCTTTTTCTTTCTTGTAAAATCACTCTGGTAATATTGCGTTGTGTGTTTTAGGTGGTTCTGATTAACGCCGTGCGGGACGTGGCGAAGGCTCTGGCTGAACTCATCAGCGCCACCAAGTGTGCGGCGGGAAAAGCTGCAGACGACCCGTCCATGTATCAGCTGAAGAGTGCAGCCAAGGTCAGTGCCTCAGGAACAAGGATCCTTTATATCTGATGTTAGATGTTTGTTTATGGTTTATGGACCATATAACCATGTACAACCAGCTACATTTTATACTTACTGTATTTTCTGGACTAAAAGTTGCTCCGGAGTATAAGTCACACCAGCCAAAAAATGTGTAATGAATGAAAAAACATATATAAGTCGCACTTTTTGGGGGAAATTTATTTGATCAAATCAGAGACCACCACATTTCATCTTGAAAGGCAAGTTCTAGTAAAAACAATAGAACAGAGAACAACAGACAGAACAAGTTTACCAAACTCTCCATCTCACTCCAAATCACTAAATCGAATTCTTCACTAAATTGAATTCTTCATCCTCTGTGTCACTTCTGAGCAACTCCATGACCTCCGGCGGTAAACAGAGCGCTGCTTCCTCTTCTGTGTACTTGTCGTCAGACTCAGCATCAGTTCCAGTTAGAATTATTCCGGCCTTTCTGAATCCTGACAGGATGGTTTTGGTGTCACTGAAGTCCAGGCTTTGTCGATCCATTCAATGACTTCGAAGAAAGTTGTATGGCTCACCCTCCTGGTTTCTGTGAAGCTGTGTTCTCCATCCCCACTTTCCGCCAGTCCCTCACAAGTTTCTCGCTCACTCCAAACTTTCTTTCCGCTGCTCGTTTACCATTTTCGGCCGAATATTTCACTACTTGCAGCAAGACAGAGGCTTTTTCTGCAGGAGACATGCGCAGCAGGGCGGAAACACACAAGTCTAGAGCCTCTTGACGCTGTCAGTGTGAAAGTTTTAATATATAAGTCACACTGGAGTATAAGGAAACACTCAAACCATGAAAAAAAGTGTGACTTATAGTCCGAAAAATACACACACATAGGTTCTGTAAAAGGGTGAGGCTATGTGAAACTCCGGTGCGCTCTGTGTGAATCTCTGGTGTGCTCTGTGTGAATCTCTGTGTGCTCTGTGTGTGCTCTGTGTGAAACTCCGGTGCGCTCTGTGTGAAACTCCGGTGTGCTCTGTGTGAATCTCCGGTGCGCTCTGTGTGAAACTCCGGTGCGCTCTGTGTGAAACTCCGGTGCGCTCTGTGTGAAACTCCGGTGCGCTCTGTGTGAATCTCCGGTGCGCTCTGTGTGAAACTCCGGTGCTCTGTGTGAAACTCCGGTGCGCTCTGTGTGAAACTCCGGTGCGCTCTGTGTGAAACTCCGGTGCGCTCTGTGTGCAGGTGATGGTGACCAACGTGACGTCTCTGCTGAAGACGGTGAAGGCTGTGGAGGATGAAGCCACTCGAGGGACCAGAGCTCTGGAAGCCACCATAGAATACATCAGACAAGAGCTGACGGTGAGAAGAACTGATAACTTTTAGTCACATCACTCTGGATTTTGGTTTTCTACATGTATGTCTGTGGTGGAATGTTCATCCACTACAGTGACATAATGCACATATCAGCAAGCAAACAGAGATCAAATACATTTATAAAAAAGACATTAAAACATTTTCCTGTGATCAGTACGAGCGTTCATGATACAGTTCAGGTTTGATTTTCAACAAAAATATAAGAGTGACGAACTGAAAAACTGTTGGTGAGCTAGTTTATGACTCTAATTTTATGTGCGAGAGACATAAATCATCGCAGCTGTCAGCTCTTTCTGGTCAGATTGTATTAAAATAAAAATCAGATTAAGTCTAATTTGAGTAACAGAGCTTCTAACAACGTAGTGCTTTAAGAAGTTTTTATTTATATAGAGCTTTTTCACAGACATATGTCACAAATACACTTTATAGATCATTATTTATTCACTCCAGACCCAGTGGTGGTAAAATACTATTGTAGCCACAGCTGCCCTGAGACACACTGATGAAAGCGAGGCTACCAATATGCGCCATTGCCTCCTCCGTCCACCACCATCACTCACACACACACCACTTTCATACTTAGTAATGTGGGTGAAGTGTCTTGCTCAGGACACAACAACAGTTAAGTGACTGGCGCCCCCCTGTGGCTGCTGATTTTCCCAGTGGTCTCCCATCCAAGTACAAACCAGGCCCGACCTCTGAGCTTCTGAGATCTGACAGGATCAGGTTTTGACAAGTCGCTTCACACCTCCAGGGAATGTTGATGACATCAGCTGAAAAGTGTCAATAATAGGGAAGGAACAATAACCGAAATATCGTGATATTGTATCGTCAAAAGTCTCACAATAATATCGTGGGCCATCAAAATATATCGAATTCACAAGTCTCGTTGCTTAAATTAAGAGTTATGGTGCAGCATAGATTAAAAAAAAGACAGGGAGAACTACATAGACCATGATCCTTTGCTCCATTTCAGTGCAGACGACAAGAAGAAATAACAGTTCTAAGCACTTTTATGTCTTAGTGGATTAAGTCTTGTCAAGGAATTTTAAGAGGAAAAAGTTGCATATTAACAGTTTTGCCCATAAAATATCACAATAAATATAAATAAATAAATAAATCGTGACATGTATATCATGAAAATATCGTACTGAGAGATTTCGATATTGTTACATTCCTAATCATGAGCTTTCCCACGATATCGCAATAAATATCGTACCGTGAGGTTCATACCGTGACAATATCGTATCGTGAGACTTGGATATCGTTGCACCACTAGTCAGTAATAATTGTGCTTTATGAATTTGCAAAATGTTTTTATTCAAATGTTTCAAGGATTTTCTGTAAATATTCTTCACCAGGTGTTCCAGTCCAAGGACATGCCAGACCAGTCCGCCTCGCCTGACGACTTCATCCGTACGATAAAGGGCATCACAGGAGCCACAGCCAAGGCCGTCGCCGCGGGCAACTCAACCCAACAGCACGACGTCATCGCCACTGCCAACCTGAGCCGCAAAGCCATCTCCGACATGCTCACGACCTGCAAGGTGAACCGCACAAACTCACATCTGCAGAGATATACAGAGAGTGGAACGCTTATTCACACTCATAACTCCATTTAACTCAAATTACTCTGACTTTTGTGTGATTTTATTTTTTTTTTTTAGTAGTTTCATTAGTGGGATAAATGCTGATTGTGTTGTTATCACAATCTGAAGGGGGAGTGACTTTTCAGAGAGGAGGGAGCAGTCAGAGTGTCAGAACGAAACAGTTTAATGTGTTGTTTTTATCAATATAGCATTTCTGAAAAGAGAAAAGGTGACATGGTGATCCAAATATGTCACGTGTTTGCAGTTAAAGGTTCAGTATTACGCAAAATTGACTTGTGAGCTTCAAGGCCGCCACACACTACAGGATTTTTCAGTTTTAAATGATTTTTAAACATCCAACAAAAACCCGAACAACGCAGACACGAGGAGAATCTAATGAGATTTAAAAATTTCTGATCGCAAAGACTGCAGCGGGATACGTCTGTGGATCACCGAATATAAAGATGTGAGTGCGAATAAAAGTACTCGCTTTGAGACTCTTGAGTGTTCAGAAGATCAGAACTTTGCACTTTTAGTCTAGACACAAGTCAAATCTGTTTTATTATTTATGAACTGTGGTGCAGTTCTTCAGACACATGATTTTTAAAGCATAAAAGATTGGAGATAAAGTTCACAGGAAGTAGAATCACTATCACTAATCTGCAGCTTCACCTCGACCCATGCTCTGTGTGGATGTAAACATACATATGTGAGGAACTACTCCGGCCTTTTTACTTTTAACCCATTAATGTCTGAATTTATATAGATGTATATAAAAAATGTTTTGTGCGTGTTTTTGCCTTAATGGTAAATTAAATTGAGATTATCAATTTGACTATAGCAAAAAAAATGAATAGAAATTTGGGTATGTTGCAAATTTGCGACAACTAGAAACAAGTGCAGCCGCTGTCTCGACTTATAGCTTGATCCAAAAGGTTTATTTCATATTTGTGACAGTCAGCGTAAAGGGGTTAAAGAACTTTTCAGACTGACATTATTTGCAGAGGACAAATTCTATGGATAATATGAATGAAAATACTGCAGTTTAGCTTTAAAACTTTACAAGAGGTGAGTAATAATTATTTTAGCTATTAACTGAGTTTGAATCTTGCACCTGTTTGTCTGTAACGCTCTGTTTTATGGCTGTTACAGTATACAACATGAATATGAATATGAATATGAAAGAGCAGCCTAAATCAGACAAATTCTCCTGTAGTGTGTCGTGGCCTTTAGGCGGTTATAATGCTGTTGGAGTTGTGTTTTATTTAATTCACACGTTTGCATAATCCTTTATTATTACCGTATTTTCTGCACTATAGGGCGCACTCATAAGCCTCCAACCCCATCAAAAAACGACTGCGCGGCACAATCCAGAGCGCCCTATACACAATTCCACTCGGGTGTCCCAGCACAACTTCAGTAAACTACAAAGCCGCACCACCCGCAGAACACGTAAACATGCACGGAGCAGACAGCAAATGCGCAGCGAAACACACCCACAGACACACTCATCACTCCACGCCGACGAGGAACGGAATGGAGGAATGAACCGAAAAAGCGAGCGCAATGTGCCACTTCTAGACACAACTGAACAACTGAGTCACTGCGAACACGCCGACAATCCGTTGGTCCCAGACAGCACCCTCCCTACACGCCACAACTGAACAAAGCCCAGAGTCACCGTGAACGCCACAAACAAACAAAACCACTCACCCATCACACTGTTGTGTTTTGTTTAAAGTCCAGTGCAGTTTATTTGTGAAAAAAGTTCAAAAATAGACCATTCAGTGACAGTGCGCCTTAAAATCCAGAGCGCCCTATAGTGCGGAAAATACGGTAGTCAAAAAAGAGTAATATTGAGCCCTGCAGAAGAGGTTTCCCAAATAAAACTCACACTCAGGCAGCAGTAGTGACTCTTACTGTAGGTTTGTCTCATGTTGTTTCCCACAGAGAGCAGCTCACCACCCTGAAGTGACGGAGGACGTGAGAGCCAAGGCCCTGCAGTACGGCTCCGACTGCACCAGCGGGTACATCACTCTCCTGGAACAAGTCCTGCAGGTTTGACATCTCTTTCATGAAAACAGAGACAGAGACAGCTCCACGGCGCAGGTCTGAAGTGTGTGTTTTTATGTGTTTTTTTGTGTGTTTTGTCACAGGTGCTGCAGAGGCCCAGTCCGGAGCAGAAGCAGCAGCTGTTGGTGAACTCAGAGCAGATCGCGGGCTGTGTGACTGAGCTGCTCCAGGCCGCGGAGAACATGAGGGGTGAGGAACCTCGATTAAACACCAGTTTTAAACCACTCTACTATGGGTTTGTTTAAACAAGAAATTTTATTAAGTTTTAGTCTTAGGCTGTGTCCGAATGTCTACCCTAGTCCCTAACCCAGGGGTGGGCAAACTCCAGCCAGGGGACCGTATGTGGCCCTTTAAACCTTTTAATCCGGTCCGCCGAACTTGAATAAATTACAATAATAAACCTTGTTGATGTTTTATTTTTCCTGCATTTCCGGCATTTCCCAGTAGATGGCGCACTATATATACATTGAGGTGTGGCATATTATGTTGGCTGCAATGCTTAATGGGAAAGTGTTCTTACAGGAGTCATTTTCGGCGGTGTATTCGGACCAAGAGTGAGGTAGAAGTGTTCAAGACATAAGGCTGCACTGTTTCCATTTTGAGTGGGTTAAAAGCAAAGTCAAAAGACTTACAGATGCTGTGTTCCAAATCTTAGTGCATGGATTGTCTTAAAAATCTGGTTTTATTGCACGTGTAGGTGTTTATGCGCGTAACCTTGAAGCATGGGCTCTGGTTCTCAAAGAGATCTAACTGCTCAGGGCTCCCGCTCGCCTGTGGTGTGCAGTGGAGCAGATCTATTCACCTTTCATGTGTTCTGAAAGTTATACGTCAAAGCTGTAGCGTGTAGTGTAGAATACGTTCTACATGGATGTAATTACGAGTGCAATGGAGCCGGGCTCTTTACGCGTCATGTCCTGTCTTCTGTCCGGCCCTTCAGTCAAATTTTAGGACCCTATGTGGCCCGCGAGCCAAAAAGTTTGCCCACCCCTGGTCTAACCCCTCATTCACTGCATAGGCCCGGACTCGTCAGTGAACTATAATCACTCATTCAAAGAGAGATTCGGACATGCAGCTCGTTACGTTCGGGTCACGTGATTCTGGTGCCTAAGTGAAATAAAACATCTAAAATTCAATAAAACAATCCTTTCTGTCATACATAATGATCAGATCAGACTAACACATGAACTATTTATGTACTAATACCGTATTTTTCTGGTTATAATTCGCTCCGGAGTGTAAGTCGCACCAGCCAAAAAATGCGTAATGAAAAAGAAAAAAACATATATAAGTCGCAGTGAACTATAAGTCGGACTTTTTGTGGGAAATGTATTAAATAACATCACATCACAGACCAAGAACAGACATTTCCTGTTGAAACTGAAGTTCTAGTAAAAACAATAGAACAGAGAACAACAGACTGTTAACATCACATATGAACAGTTCTTCAGATAAACTATAACATAAACAACAGAACAGAACAGTACCAAACTCTCCATCTCACTCCAAATCACTAAATCCATTCAATTCTTCATCCTCGGTGTCACTTCTGACCAACTCCACGACCTCCGGAGGTAAACAGAGCGCCGCTTCCTCTTCTGTGTAGCTGTCGTCAGACTCAGCATCAGTCCAAGTTAGAATTTCTTTCTGAATCCCGACAGGATGGTTTGTTTTCAGTGGTACAGAAGTAATGGTGCGATCACACAAGCCTAGAGCGCTCCCTCGCGGCTGTCAGTGTGAAAATTTTAATATATAAATCCACCGAATTTGCAGGAAACACCCAAACCATGAAAAAAAGTGCAATTTATAGTATGAAAAATAAGGCAATACAAGTTTCTGTCACACTGAATTTTATGCATATTTTAACAGCTGGACCTAAGGTAAGACACACACGAGACATAACAGTTTAATCAAGAGTATTTTATTCAGAATCACAGATCAACAGAGCCATAAACCAGCGTATTTATCTGCTTCATTCAGTCGTGTTGTGTCCAGTTAAAAACCTGTCACTGTACGCGGTTATGTTCCTGACTCTCACATTACACTGTGGTCTATGTTGTCCGCTCTAGTGACCACCGATGCTCACCACTTTTCAAGCCATTTTTGCAAGTTTTAGTCAAAATGATAACTCTTTTCTTTTAGTTTTTATTTTATTTTAGTAAAAATATGACATTGATAAAGCGATGATGAAAATAGTTTTGCTGAAGAAATGAACAAGGTCTCCAAGAAAATCCTCCAACATACATTTTATAAACTGGATGTACAGCTTGTTTTCTGCGTGTTTTCAGAGACTCACTCACATTCTCCTCGTCTCTGTCTCAGGTTCAGAGTGCGTGGACACAGAGGAGACCACAGTGATCGCAGAGACGGAGCTTTTAGGAGCGGCCGCATCGATAGAAGCCGCCGCCAAGAAACTGGAGCAGCTCAAACCGAGAGAAAAACCCAAGGTACAAAACACAACACAAAACACAAACCTACAGTCTACACAACACAATCATGCACAAGTAAAACAAGAACCAAGAATCCTGTGTACATCATGTTTTTTCAGTCTGTTTTTTAACTACAAAATGGTAAATAAACTAACCTAACCTAACCTAAATCTTTGCCATCTTTGTAATACAGAGTCTGAGGGTAGTTATGTCATATTTTTATCAGGGTTTTCTCAAATAAACAATGAAAATACTCGGTAAGCGCCACGACTACTGAAAGGAACTTTTTTTTGTCTAAAACTTCTTAATAATGACTTATATTCTGTGTCTATGTCGTTTGTGTCTTTGGAGACTAGACCTGTTGTTGTGTGTTTGCCTAAAATGTCTGTGATTAAAGGTCCTATATTACACTAAATTAACTCTTGTGAGCTTTAAGTCATGTTAGAATGTTGTTTCTTCATCAAAAACAGACCTGGAGTTGTGTTTTATTGTGTTTTATTCACACATGTTTGCGTTAGTGATGGGCATTTGATTACATTTTCTTAATCGATCATCGGGAGGATTAACAATACATTTTTGATTAATCGTGAACGTTTTTATATTAAAATTATCATCACCAACTATAAGTGCTGAAAAAAAAACAGCTCTTTCCTTGTGCGCTAATGCGGTTCAGCTTCATACGGACTAAAGGACACGACTCAGTGGAATATGAGTGTTCTTTTTGTGACAGAGGGATGATGATGATGGTGATGATGAGTCTGTTCTGTGTGTGTCGCGCTGGAGATGATTCATGTTTTCAGAGATCAGACGTGTGCAGGTTTAGGGCAGCTCTTTATTTAACATAATTTCACTTTATTTATTTTGGTCACTTTATTTATTTTGGCTTCTGTTGTGATGAAAAGACTGAAAAGTGTTTGTCTTTTGGACACATGTGACTCAACTTTATGTTGCAGTAACCAGGGTACTATGTTTACATGCACCATGACCAAACCAGGACACTCAAAAAACCCAATCATCCCCGGAACACTGATGTGCTGTAAACACACTCACTGAGTGGAACAGTGTCTCCAAGGAGCCAGAGCCCAAATGTGGAACTGTGAGGCACAACTCCAGTGTTTGTGTCAGACGCAGCCTCGTTTCCTTACGCTACGCACAGCAACCTACATTCAGTTTGTCAATTAAAAATTAACGTCATCGACAAAATTTTTTATGATTAAATATAGATTAGTGAACTAATCATGCCCATCCCTAGTTTGAGTAACACTTTATTAGTGTGTCTACATCTCTAAAGCTGAAAATGCTCTGTTCCACCTTGTGATGCCATGAAGTGGTAGTTTTAAAGTTAACAGATATTTTTACCTTGTGTTCAGTAGAGATCGGCAATTCCAGGGCTGAAATAATCCAAATTATTGTAGTGAAGGTGTATGGAGTTTAAAAATACTGTGGAACACTTCCTGTATCAACACATATCAGAGTGAAGAGCGTTTCTGTTTGAGAGAAGAACTCAGCCTAAATATGCAGGGTTTTAATGAAACAAAACATAACTCCAGGTCTGTTTGTGATGAGGAAACAACATTATAACACATCGAAAAATAGGGTAATATGGGCCCTTTAACTAAAAGTAATCAATCATTTATTTTATTTATTTTAGTCTTGGGTGGGAATATGACGTAGATCCTGTATTCTAATATCAGAGTGGGCAGGTCCTTTTGTGTAGCGATGCATGTTTCCCTCTTGTCTTCTGGGTCCCAACCTGTCAACCTGACCGCAAATACCTTGTGAAAGAGATTGTGGCTCTCAGTCGTATTTTCCATCTTAAACTGAGCTCCAAAAAATTGTTTTAATTGATAATTTAAAGGTCCTAAATTATGCCTGGAGTTGTGTTTTGTTTCATTCACACATTTTTCTGTAACCCTTTATCAGTCTGTCTATATCTCTAAATCTCAAAATGCTCAGTTTCACCTTGTGATGTCATGAAGAGGTAGTTTTCAAGTGAACAGCTACATTTTAGTTCAGTAGAGACTGACAATTCCAGGGCTGAAATTATCCAAATTATTCAGTGAAGGTGTGTGTGGAGAGTTTGTGTGAATGAAACAAAACACAACTCCAGGTCTGTTTGTGGTGAAGAAACAACATTAGAACAGATCAGAAAATAGTAGAAGACCTTTAAAGCTGCATTCTGCAACTTTTCCAGTGAAGGGTCCGTCACCTCTTCATGGATTAAACCTATTTATGCCAAGGTAGACAACTATAGGCTACATCAGGGCCACTGGAAGTCATTTTTAACAGGGGTTGCTGTGAAAAAGTTTTTTTTTTTTTTTTTAACCCTCTTAGCCTAAAAGCTTATTTAAAATACATTTTAAATATAAATAAAAAGATTGAAATACAACATCTTATTGACATATACACTTTAATATAGTCTCTGACAATTTAAGAAAAATTTAAGAAGAACGTCGTCTCTGACAATTTAAGAACAATTTAAGAAAGTCGTCTCTGACAATTTAAGAACAATTTAAGAACGTTATCGTTTCTGACAATTTAAGAACAATTTAAGAATGTAATCTCTGACAATTTAAGAACAATTTAAGAACGTAATCTCTGATAATTTAAGAACAATTTAAGAATGTCGTCTTTGACAATTTAAGAACAATTTAAGAAAGTTGTCTCTGACAATTTAAGAACAATTTAAGAACGTCGTTTCTGACAATTTAAGAACAATTTAAGAATGTCGTCTTTTGACAATTTAATTTAACAATTTAAGAATGTCGCCTTTGACAATTTAAGAACAATTTAAGAACGTCGTCTCTGACTATTTAAGAACAACTGAAGAGCAATGTAAGAACAATTTAAGAATCTCGTCTCTTGATAATTTAAGAAAAAACAAAATCTCCCTCTCGCCACTAGAGGGTCCCGCAGCACCTCCAGCACCCCCACTTCCTGCGGCCATGAGCTACATTACAGTTCACAGTGAAAATCATTGTATTTTTAAGCAATAGAAACACTTGAAATGAACAAATGCTCGATAGATCGTTTAATCTCCATGGAGACAATCAGGTGACAGACTCTCCACCAGAAAAGCTGCGCAATGCACCTTTAAATAATCGATCTAATAATAAAACAAAAGCAGATTACAGTGTGTTTGTCAGTGAACTCAAGCTGAATTGAATATTTTAAGTTTTGTAGCTGTAGTCTTATATGCACACTGTCTTTTATTTCTTTATCTTTATCAGAGCTTCTTCTCCTGTCTCTCTCTCCTTGTCTTCTTCGCTCCTCCCTGTCTCTCCTCCTGAAGGAAAGGGTCTGTCTCACCCCCGCATGTCCCCACCGACCGTCTCCCTTTCCAAAGCGTTGTAGACATGGAAGCCTTCTGTGCAGGGCTCTGTCTGATATGTTTGATATATTAGGTTGTTATTCAGTCCAACTATATATCAAACATATTCCTACAGTGTCCCGCCCTGTCTCCAGCCTCGTGTTCCTCTGTGCTGTGCAGTCGCATGTTGTGGGTTAGCTGTAGACAGGGGCGTAGACAGGGAAGGGGCAAACGGGTCTGTTGTCTGGGGCCCCAAGGTTTAAGGGGCCCAGAATGTCACCCTCTTCCTGTTAATTTATGTTTTAATTTCTGTCAGTGGGCCTGGCTGGAGCACTGGCTCAGGTGGTGGTTTTATTGTTACTTTGCAGCTGATGTCAACATTCTCCAGGGGTGTGATGCTAACTGTAGGCACTGCTTTGTCTGAGGTTTTTTTAGACTTAAATTTAAGGCAGTTGGGGGTCTGTCACCTGTTCGTTTTCTGTGGATATGTCATTGCTCTGCCTGGAATGTTCCACAGTGTGACAAAGGGAGCCTTTGTCAATATTTATTAACATTTAATTTCATTTACATCTGTTTCCATAATCAACTAAAGAGCTAAATATCACTATCCCAGGTTTGTTTCATTTAGTCTTTGTTTAGTGAAGTTAATCACTTCACACCAGTTACTTTAAATATTAGGGCTGGGTGAAAAAAAAAAAAATTAATCGCAACAATCGCATGAGTTCGAGTGCGATTAATCGCAAAACCAATTAATGAATTAAAAAGTAGAGTATAGCCCACTTTTATTGGAAATGTAAATGAAAGAGCCACACATTTGTTGTGTAAACAGCATTTCTTTCAGAGGGGAACCCTCAGAGCCTTCAAGGTATTCAGTGAAGGCTCAAGAAAAAATATTTGTACTACTAATATATTTTTTCAATATTTTTTTATGTGAGTAATAAACACTACACTAGTAATAATTTTTAGATCATTGTTATAAACTTGGACTGATATTTCCTGGGAAACAAAGGGTTAATATAATGGAATAGAAATGGCCCAATCACAATGTTTCCTCCAATGGTATCTGGGTAAATCAGTGACTCCCCCTGCAGCACTGAACTTAAGACATTGACAGTTGTCTGAGCCAATCATATTTCACTGAGTTATTGGGCGGGATCATATCACGAAATCTTCCGAGCCTTCCGTGAATACCCTGTAATAGCATAATGTAAGCGAGACCCCAGCGACGAAAAACGCACTGGACACCTCGATTTGGACGCTTCAGGGGCAAGAGCCCGCGGGCCGCGGCTCCTCATGTGCACAGAGACTTGAGTATCCTGGTTTCTCTGACCACATGTAAACACCAGATCCATAACATTGTCATAACTGCGATAAAACATGCGCATGTAAACACATTCACAATATACACTGTACATCATATAACATAAAGGGCCCATCTCATGCAAAATAACTCTTTTCACATTGTATCTTCTGTACATATACAAGCACAATTTGGGTTTTGGAACATCCATTAGACAATAGTTATGAAATCTTACTGATTTCTTGGAGGCGTCACAGACCAGGAACTATTAAAGTCCGACTATTTGCTCATCCCCCCGCCCGTCCTGAGAAAGCACAGGCTCCGCCCTCCAAACATGACGTAGGCTCTGAGTGAGCCGCCCTTCCTCCGCCCATCTCAGGGAGTGAGGGGGAGACAGACGTGCACCCT